TCACGGGAGTGAAAAGTTATACTCAGTGAGTGTACTAATGTAATTTTACTAAGGTTCTCAGAAAGTTTCGGTATCACTGTAAGCTGATATCCATGGCGAGTGGGGAAACGTTTTGGCGACTTAAGTTGCAGAGTGAGTCGAAATAAACGTCCATGGCACATGTGACATAACTCCTAGAAGAGCAGATACCCTGAGATTAAAGAGAAATTACATACACATGTATAAGAAAACTCGATTCTCGAAGTGAAGCCTAGAAACTCTATCCACGATCCTCGAATGTTTCCAGAAGCAAAGTTCGTGTTAAGATTGTCAACTTAAAATTTAGCGATAATGCAGTTTACGGTGTAGCCTGTGCAGGGGATAAAAATACAAAAACCTTACCGGTCTATACCAGAGTCCAGTTTGCTTTCCATCATTTCCATTATTGCCTTCTTCTTTCGGACGCATTCGGCATAAACTGGCGAAGATCTGTGCAGAGGTTCTCATAGCGTTTTTAATATTGTAGACAATGACATGAGTACGTTAAACGGAAGGCATTAAGTTGAGATCTGGTTTAGTGGGTAAAACTAGTCGAATCCGCAAACAAAATTCATCTATGCATCCATTTAACTCGGTGACTTCTCAATAGAGCAATTTTAAATTGAAATTCGACAAATATCCGAGCATTGGTATTGCTATACTTCGCTCGATGATGATTCAGAAACTCGTACCACTCTCTCAACCAATCAGATGCAAAACTAAAACCAATCACGTCTTCGCCACCCGCGTTTTCCCGCGCTTTAAGAAGTTTACTTGTTTTTTCCTTTGAGTTCTCATTGGCTCCTAAGAGTCTTTTCCTTCCTTAACATTGGCAGCTGTGATTAATTTTGTTTTCGTTTTCTAACACTCAATCGGAAAGCGCTCTGACACATCAAAATGTTAAGAGCCATAACTTTCTATTAAACCGCTAGCTGGCACTTGCTATCGAGTTTGATGTCGTAAAACCTCAAACTACCTTCAATATTGTGCATCAAATACTCACGCGACTAGTCCTATCACACAGTCCGTGAAATGTTTCTCAAACAGATGAAAGATGGCATTGGCTTGCTCAGACACTTTGAAAAACAGGCTCTCCGGCGGTGCCTTAGGTTCCGCTGAGGGTATTGCTACCGAATAAAAAATTGGTTTTAAACTTTTATTAAAAGAGGGAGCCAAAGGAGACTTGGAGCAGTGAAGCAATTGCTTAAGAATCCATTTAATTCTTATCTCCTTCATAAAGAGGCACATGCGAAATAAACTCTACGACAATTGTCTTTCTCAGCAACCCATGACGTAATAGACGCCCAGCTTTTTTCCCAACCGCTTGGTAATCTTTTTGAACAATTAGGAGCCGCTCAAAAAAAGTACTCTTGACTTTCTTTTGCGGAAACCGGGTGAACAGTTGTTTGTGAACAGCACGATGAGGTTTCGACGCGCGGCCATGACAATTTTCGATCGATTAAGTTACTCTTCGGAATATCAAACGCGGTTGAATATGAGTAATTTATACCAACTATGGTCCCATCACTTGACGATCTCTTTGAAGTAACAGGAGCTGCATACAAAGGTATTTTTAACTCAAACAATTTTCGTTTTCGAAAACTAAAGGAACACTCTTTTTTGGAACAGTGGTTTGGCGTGTCGGCCAAGTTATAATCATAAACGTGGCGTTCGCAATTGAATTTTTGAATATTCAAAGACAATTTTTGAACAATCTTTGGAATCTTAAAACGCATCTTTAACGGACAAAAATTTCCTGACTCAGTTGACTACTTGTATTTGATAAGATACCTTGGAAGGTGACGTTGAGTGCGTAGTCAATGTGCTCGGTACACAGATTGTATAGCAATTTTTGATAGATTTCCACTCCATTTGCTGCCATGTCAGACGGAGAAGACAACTACAAGAAAAACACTTTACATTAGAGTGTGATATATAAGAGGAAATTCAAATATTTGATTAGGGATCGAGGATCCCAGTATGTTAGTCTCTCATCATTCACCGTATTTCATTCCATGATAGGCCCTCCTTAGGAAGATTTCAATAAACTTGAGGGTTTCTGAGCAACCCATTCCCGTTCGGATCTTAACTTCCTTGACCGAATGTGCCAGGAGAAACATTCGCAGCTCCGCTGTTTCGCTAGGATACATCTTTATATAAATTTGACATCACTTATTGTATTTCATTCTTTGATAGGAAGCTTGAGACAATGTGTGCTTTCAGTCTCTCTTGCACTATATATCATACATCGATGGAGATTTTTTTAGCACGCCACTATCATGGGAATAAGAACAAAAAAAAACAGAATAAAAGAATACAAGGATTTCATCACCCTCACCAGCTCACATCTTTTCAAAGCCATTTTATTTTCTTGCAAAAGACTAACAGCCACATCTTGAGACAGAAGAGTAGTCTCTTTACTGGAGTCCATGGAATTCGCGTGCATTCTGAGTGGTATCCTTTTGGTCAATTCCGTACTCAAAAGACTGAAAACAAAATCGAGAAACCGGAAAATCATCAGGGAAAAAATATTCAGTATTTCAAGAAGAGAGCACATTGATGTTTTAATTCAAATCTGATTTGGTGTCCAAAAAATCCTCCGACTAGTTCCAATCCTCTCGCTTTAATTTTCTTCGCTCGCCCTTGCTTCACGCTCGTTTCCACAAACCGAATTCCTAAAATAGGCTTAAAGCTGCCAGAGGAGGTTTATAAACTAGACATCAAAACTCATATTTAATAAACATAACAGTCTACACACGTACCTCGCACCAGTGATCCTGTCCCTTTTTTCATGGTTTATAGAATGGTAGTACTTCTCCAAAATAGCAGCTGATTTCTCTGACAGGAAAGTTAACTCTGTTCTATGACACAAAAGTAGTTATGTCAAGTATTGTTTATGTTGTACAGTACAAACAGCATGAATCAAGAACTTTTAAAAAGGGGCTCTGAAAGAACTGTAAATGCTCAGTGTACAAATTAGACTACGAGCAGTCCCTACTTTTCGGCATAGTCCCTTGCGCGAGTTCAAACAAAAAAAAGCAGTTAAAAAATTGATGTAAGCGCGCTGTGCATAACGCTAAGAGCGAGGCGCACGAAATGAAGGGCCCTCCCTCCCCTGAATCCGCGCGCCGCGCTTACATTAATGTTATCTTTCCTTTTTTTACTGATTGATGTTTTTCAGATTCGCGCGCGACGTAGTTTTAGACAATTTCACAACTAACCTTTTTTGGCATTCGCAATTACCTGTGTCAACATTGTGTTAAGGAGCATTAATATAGGAGCACAGTGACAATGCATTCCCTTCATTGGGAGTGGAAAAGAAACCTATCTAACTTGCTGTTAAGTGGCACCCACTTGATGTAAGATGATAAGTATTCACTGAATAAATTTTTTCTCAGTCTTTCCAGAAAATTGGAATCTGATCCAAGTTTGTAACCAGAGAGTTTTTCTCCAAGTTTCTTGGCCCTGTAAAAATGGATAAAATAGTAAGAGATGACAAGTTCAGGTGAAATGGTCAAAATACTGCCACTTGATAGTGCAAGAAATATAGCAAAAATAAGGGTCAAAAAAGGAAACATTATATCCTGATTATTACCTTTCGTACAAGTTCTGAAGGTTTTTCAGTGACTGTTCCTTGTCTGAGCCATAGTTTCTGAGTTGAGAATCCACATGTTTCTACAATGAAAAAATAGGTCAATTTGTTTGTAATAAAGGGTAGATGATGTTGAGTACTGTAAAATACTCATAACTATTTCATGTGTAAACAGAATGGGAGAAAGTAATCAAGATACTGATAACAAAAACAAAAACTTTTCAACGACTTGTGAAAATCAAATGACTCGATTTATACTGAAGTTTTTCAAGAAGAAAACTACGATTCTAAAGATTCTTTCCACTGGATGGCAATTAGTTTGAAAAAGATAAATGTGAAAAAAAGACGCCACAAACGAGGATTATTAATACCTTGAGCACATCCTCATGAATATTCTGCACTAGCTTTCCCATTACAACTTCAGCATTATTGCTAAAAACTTTGTTAACCATGCTATGAACCCGTTCACAGAGCGGTATCACATCTTGAAATACATCAGAAGACAGGAACTGACCCTTTAGTGGAACAAAATAACATGAGTATCATGATAACACATGAGAAAAAAAAAAGAAATGACCTGATAGATATTTTCCTTAAACTGTTCTTTTCATTTTCATTTCCCTTCAGTTAGATTCTTAGGGAGGATACTTTCTAGCCTGTAGTGCAGTCATGTTAGCGTTACAAGCTCGTGATTCTTTTCGGGTCAGCCATGTTAGATATAGAGTTGTAGTGGATGGTGCGGGGGGGAGGGGGAGGGGGGGTAGGGGGAGTGAGGAAAAATGAAAAGATTTCACCACCCCCTCCCTTTTCTTTTAACCACCCCTGACCACTTTGGTGCAAATTTCTTTCTCTCACCAGTATTTCACAAAAAAATTAAAGGCGATCTTCTGACATGGTGATTTTGTAAATGCACTTTCTATAACTGACTATGGATAAAAGCCATATATACTGGTCAGGAGGTAATATACTTTACCTTCTGACTTTGTTTGATAAAGGAATCAATGCAGTGAGAGTAGCCCTGTGGAAAAGTAATTCATTATTAAGAAAAAAATGTCACTCAGCAATATATATCAGATTTTTATATCACAAAGCCTTTCTCAAAGAGTGTCTTTAAATGACATGATTACCACCAAATGATCAACAAGGATTGAAACAATCAAGTCCTTGAGCCACCAGTAACTAAACAACCAACAAGCACAAGAATAAACAATGATTGAATAGCCAGCAGCTGACTCACTACGCACCTTGAAGGGAAGCAATGTCTCTGCACAATCTCTCATACCACTGATATTTCCCTGATGATGGGCTTCTTCAAATTCTTCAATCAAAGCGACTTCCACTTTATCATGGCATTCTGTATGGATAAACCTATAGCTACTTAACACTTCAACACCCTGAAGTGCTAAACAAGTAAACTGCTTCCCATAATATCCATAAATTATCCAGGAAACAGGTACTGAGCATACTCAAACATATCTAAGTTAGAAGTTGTTTACAAAGAAAACAACTTCAGAATAAGTACTAAGTATTCCTTTTCTAATTTCTTAATCATTACAGTTTACCACTGCTATATTTCAATTAATCAAAACACTAATGAAAAGTATGGAACTGCAGCTACAGGATCTCCCTACTAACAAGCAGACTTAAAAAAAAGTAAATGCCATAAACTTGCATCTTATATGAGTAACAGCCCAGGTCATATGTTCAAGTACAGTGGCAGTTGTATTGTATATTAAAGCCTACATTGCATACCTACCTTTGATTCTTTCTTGGACATCTTTAAACCTAAAACCAAATAAATTGTACTTAGTGTGGTCGCTTTCCATTTCTTTAAAAACAATGTAGGCATTTTTCATCTCTTGGTATGATCGCACTCAAAATCTCAAGCAGAGTAGAACTTAAATTAAAACTTTATTGAAGGAATAATTATTTCAAACTGACTCATCTCTGTCATGCTTTCAAAGGTGCTATTTCTAACCCCTTGTATCATTAATTATATAAAGAAATTAAAAGTACATCACTTGTCCTACCTCTCAGCAGGAAGTTCGTGGGCAATAAGTGCCAGCTTTTGTATGATGTTTGCTGCTTCATGAATCTGCAGCAAAAAAGGAAAAAAGTTAAGTGTTGATTTGCCACTAGAGTTACAGTGTATCACTTTGTGAGATCTATTTTTTTTCTCATGGAGCCTATTTTTCTGCCATCAAGGGCTGTCTGCAAAACTGAAAACTCCTAAAAAATTCCCTACAACAAAGTTGTTACAGGCACTCCACTGCTCAGAATCTAATAATCCAATAACCTCTTACCCTAAACTGGTCACTAAACACAGTTGAAACATGTTTTCCTGTAGCAAACTCATCGAAATATTTCATGAGTTCTTGCGCCTCAATCGCTCTGGACCTTGGAGTGTTGATTCCTTCCAACTGGTCTCCCAGATGAACCACTTTGGTAGCCACATAGTTTATTCGGTCATCCAATTCTTGAAAGAGGGAAGATGCAGTCTACAAGAAAAGTTAATGATATATGAATAAAGTCTCTTTATCAAAGCTCACAAATCAGACTAGTTTTAAATCTAATTTTACCCTGGAATATTTAAACTAAATATATCATATACAGTCAGAAGACCAGTTAGATATCTAGACTGTACTGCCTGCATATTTGTTGTGGTTCAATTTTATCCTTGGTTCAAATTTTATGTTTCTTTTGTTTTTGGGTGTTGTATTGTATGATAATGAGTTTGAAACAAAGGAAAATAAAATTTGAACCAAGGATAAAATTGAACCACAACATATACACCAAAAATCACATGCAATTGACAAAGATAATTTGCTTGAAAATGGTGATCATTTCCTTTATTGTCTTGACATTACAATTGATTCAAAGTTGAAACTGTAAGGAGAAATTAGAAACCAATCACTCTTAGAAGTTAAAGGGTTAACAATTACCTTAAAAGTTGATTCCAGTTCTCGAGATTTCTGTTTGTGTTGTTCCTGTTCTTTCCCACAGAGTTCTTCAAGTTTGTTAATTCTTCCCTGCATCTTCTCATCTAGAGCTGTCAGTTCTTTAATAGTTTTTTCAAACACGTCACACAAAGTTCTAGGATCAAAAGCTCCAGCTCCACCTTTTGACCCTCCACCATCCACAGTGCTTGCCAGACGCTCCACATACTCATAAGCATCAAACTCCCCCTATTGTTTGCATTGAAGCAGTAGAGGTCACAGTGCATATGAACTAGACTGATAACTCACATCTGACAAATGCCAGTAAGTCACTATAGATTACAACACAATTTCGAGACAGCGTAATTTGGTGTTAATAAGCATGTGTAAATTTATCACAGACAACAAAGTTAAATGTGCCCATAGGGTGAAGGCAATTTGTATTCTTTGAAAAATTTATAATTTCGACAGTGTGTGCTTTTTGCAATTTGTAATTGTGTCACAACTTTGCACCCATGTTACATAAAAAATGCACTTATTTTCAGCCATTTAGATGTGCATTATTTTTTCATGGATAGTATTATAGTTGATAGCAAGATACAGTGTAAGGGCTCAAAGGAAAAATTAAAACTTCAAGAAACATTAAATGTTTGGTTGTTTAAAAGATTTGTCAAAAAAATGAATATCACTTAAAAGACCTTCTTGTAAATTTGAAGTGATCAATATATGATAAGTTGACAGGTCTATATATTCGGGGACAGATGCACAGATGACATCACCCCCAACAAAATTTTGGTTTGTAGTCACATAAAACAAATAGATTCCACGTTGCAGTGGGTCTGTACAGTAGTAGATCGCAGATGATGTCAAAATGTAGTAGTCAGAGCATCATTTACAAACTTGGCTCCACCTCAAGTGCCACTTTTTCTGTTCTTACCACATTTGATGTTATCTGTAATCTTTTACTGAACAGACTCACAGCAACATGGAATCTTTTTGTTAATCAGTAAAGTTTTACAAAGTCTTGGATTGGGGTCAAACAAGTTATTTCCTTTACCAAAAGATCTGGATAGTAGCAGATATGCCACGAATTTAAGAAAACATGTGGCATTTTTTAAAAACATGTTTCGACAGTTCTTCAGTCATCTTCAATTTTGATTTATACTAAGTACAAGGTTGAATTTAAAGTGTATAACAAAATGCTGATTGGACAAAACAAACAATAGAAACAAGACAATGTATGCAATTACAAGGAAAGTTTCGAATGCTAATTTAAAAAAGTCGTTAATTTTCTTAAATTATTTAATTTAATATTATATTGAAGATTAATATGAAACAATCAGTTTCCCTCCTTTTCAGTCCAACAAGAATAAGCAAAACCTACTCTTATAATCTAAATATTAAATGAAAAAAAAGGAAACACTTTTCTAAGGGGCAGTTTGAGAGATCATTTGCTTAAAAAGAAACCTTTTGATATTCAAGATCGGAGGAAGTTGGTGACACACTCAGTAAATTCATCTCTACAAGCTTTTTAAGTCTCTAATAAAGCCCTGTATAACTGAAATACAACAAACCTCAAATTCTTCAAATGAAGCCATCCTGGAATAAGAGATGTGAGGGATTTATAACGCCAACATGTCGAGCTTCCGTACAACTCAGACACTTTGCAATACACCGCCTCTCTCCGCCATGTTTGTTTTCGAGCGCCGTCATTAACTGGTTCCTAGTCTCCCTCGTAAAACCCGAAGGAACGCCTTGCAGATTTACAGGTGTCAAAGTTAACACATTGGACTTTTAATTATTTGTAAGGATTAATTATTACAAGATACGGAATTACTCCACGTCGATCTTAACTCAAGAAGAACCACCTGTTACAAAACATTTAACAAACCAGTCAGCCAGAGACTGGAGTACTTCCGGGGGAAGGACACAACAGTTACATTGCGTGACCTTATCATTTAATACTTTGCATGCTTGAGTAACTTCGTCGATGTATGAACCCGATGATCAGCGACTTGTTGATACACTTTCAGATCTTAATATTAACCTGAACAAGATGGATCAAGCTTCTAATAACATTGCGGTGACAGAGAGTGCAGTAAACCTGACAGAAAATGAAGACGAAAGGTGACTTCAGCTTAGCAATTTGCGCTTTGGTCTGAAATTTATCAGTGGTGCTGATAATGAAATTCAAACGGAATTAAACGTCGCGTCTGATTTCTACAATCCAGCTTTTATGATGCTGTCGCATGATCATCGCAATACATAAGATCTGTTATTTCAATTGAATGAAATTTTTTGAAGAGTGTGTTGTTTTCATCTGTAGGCCTTGTAACGATCACAGAGAACAGCTTTGTGAAATTCTTCACAGCAGAAGGGCTCAATATGTCATCATAACATTGGTTGTCGTGGATATGATCATTGTTATTGCGGAATTACTCATTGACTTGAAAGCAGTTGAAGGTAGGCACTTATCTATCGACGATGGTGTTTTCATTTTTTTTTATTTTTTATTTAATGCCTTGGTAGCAAAAAAATAGCTTTTTAAAACATCGATTGAATTGTTACCATAGTGCTTTGTTTGGGTGAGAAGACTTCCGCCTACTTGTGACAGTTGTTTAGCGATCGAGTAGTGTAAAATTACAGGAAAAAGTGAAGTGCTTTCTTTCTAAAGTTAACCCTTTCACTCCTAGGAGTGACCAAACACATATTTCTTTTCACAAGATCAATTCATTTAAGCATTTTCACCGATCTGTGTCAATCACAATTTTGCTTGCTAACCATAGAATACACCTTGTGCCTTTGCTGTTAGTGTTAATGTGTTTATGTAAGTGCAGTCAAACCTGTACTAAGCTGCCCAGTATTAACCCTTTAACTCCCATGAGTGACTGAGACAGAATTTCTCCTTACTACATCTATACAATATCATGCAGACAAGTGATGAGAATAAAGAAAATTATCAATCATAGGAGTACTAAATGATCTAATAACAAATTCTCCAAACTAACATAATGAGAATCATTTGGTAGACAGTAAGGAGAATTACTTGTGAGATCATGGGAGTTAAAGTGTCAAGCAGTCACCCTGTATCAAGTGGTCAGTCGTCCCCCAATTAGGAGGTCACAACAATCTATTTTTTTTGTCTTCCACTTGAATAGAATATCCATTTAAAATGGAACCACTGATAAAATAAAATTAGGAACAATTTCCATTATATAGTTTATTCCATTTTATGTCATGGAATCAATGTTAGTACTTTGAGTTCAAATACCCTCAACATATTGCAGATTATTTTTCTTCTTTGAACTATTAGGACAAATATTACACATAAACATCATGCAAGTCAACCTGTATTACACAGTCACCTTACCATTCCTCATGGGTGACTGCTTATTACAGATTCAACTGTTTTGTTAAATTAAAATAAATATTTATGTTACTTGACCCATACACAGAATATTACTTTTTGTTACAGTTCACCATGAGAGTCATGCACCACATATCCTGCATTACATCAGTATTGCCATCCTTTCAATCTTCATGATTGAGGTATTATTAAGATTAATAAGTTACTCATAACCTCAGTGTTCTTTAGTGCTCTGCATATGTTTTCCTTAACATCACCCTTTAGCTGATGAATTGGTCTGTTCTTAATGCTTGTTTGCAGGATAAGGATTTCACATCAGAAGGAGAAGTCAGATATAAATCACTTCTGAGAGTTAGAGGATTAAAATAATTAATTTTGATACACAAAAATTTATGACGTAAAAATGATTGATTGTAAGTTCTTTCTTCTTTTTCTCTGTTTAGTTGTTTGTAAAGATCTACGCTATGGGACTCACATTTTTCAAACACAAAATGGAGGTTTGTGCATTTACATTCATCAGAAACCTGTACGTATCAAACAGGCAATTGAAAAATTGTTGCTTGTGCCTGCTTGATGCATGGTTTCCACTTGATAGAGGCTTAAATGGCCTCATGAATTTTGTCAATCAAGAAAGGGGTCATAATTAACTGGTGGATGGTGCTTTATTACTTGCATAAATTTTATATACCCTTCCCTTCCCCCGTTGATCCTGCATTAGATTAGTGACCTGCCCCTATTTTTGCACCAGCCTTGCTGCTCCCTCCAAGGGAAAATTTTGTCCAGTCTATAATAATCATTTGTCATACCCCAATTAGAACAGAGTCAGTTTTAAGGCTCATTGATAATTAACCCTTTTCCTCCCAAGATTGGGTTGTTAATTCTCCCCTCTTCCCTCCTGGTGACACATACACTTAATGATGGTTTTTGTGGCTGCTCAGAAGGGGTATGCATGAATACAAGTTCAGGTTGCAGGAAATATGGGGGAGAAAACTGGGATTTAGACCAGCACTTGCTTCATACCAGAAGTCAGTGAAATATGGAGTCAGTGAGATATGGGTTCCACTGAAATAGGTCTTGATCTAAAGTATACATGTCAAATAGTTAAAAGTGATGAGAATTTATTGAAAATTATAACAAATTTATCATGATTGTTTTCTAGATATTTGATGGAATTGTAGTTACAGTATCGTTTGCCTTGGATATTGCTTTCAGGTTTGTGGATTAAGTCTAGGGCTGGTTATTGTTTTGTTTTTAAGTTTCTAGACCAATACCATTGTGTCAGCTGTATTATCATGTGTTGTGCTGGATTCATGTTACACTAAATAACTTTGTTTTGCTTTGACACGGATTGGATGGATTGAGATAAGTTGATGTCTGCTTAAATCTTATTGTTACAGTGGAAAGGAGGGAGCTGTTGATGGAATAGGTCTTATTGTTCTCCTTCGGCTTTGGAGAGTCACAAGAATTGTCAATGGTAATGTTTTACTTTGCATAAAATTAATAAATTGGTACAAAAGCATCCTACAAGAATCTGAGGGCACCCATTGTGTTGTTCTACATACATGTACAATTATCAAAAATTATCCACCTTATATTAACCCATAACATAAGTATGCATATTCTCCATACTGTTCTCTTTAAATTTCCTAAGGTGCTGATACATTAAGGTCATGAGAAGAAAAGAAATGATCACAACAAAGAAAGTCTTGATTGTTGAACAAAATTTTCCTAGTCCGTGTAAATGTTTCTTTTCAAGCTAGAGTTGAATCTTAGTTCTTGGGTTGATCACTGGCATACTATAGACACTAAACCTTTAGAGGGTCTTTCTTTCTTTATTCTTTTTCCTTTTCCTTGGTGCAATCCTATATCAAAATTGCCAACTGAAATTATTACATGAAGAAATAACCAAAGTATTGAGCAATCATAGCCTCAAAAATAATCTCAACTTTGGAAACGAGCTTGTTGCAATTAAAGGAACCAAAAAGAAGGTAAAGACTAGTGATAAGTTTCATTTTTAATCACACCTAGGTAACTTAATTGAAAAGTAAGTTGCTGCTTAGCAATGTTGGCAGGTCTTGATTACTTAATTGAAAATTAAAGTCTGAACTTGTCTTCTACTCCAGAAATGATCTTGATAACACAGGGTCTTATCCTGAATTGAAACGCTAATTATAATTTATTATCTAGTAAAAAGCACTTATCACGGTGGCATCAATCTAATCAGAAAATATTTTGCAGCTTTTGTTGGCAGCAGTAACATTTAGATTTCATGGAAACGGTTACAGTCAGCGCTTTAGGAAATGAGTGGAGAATGGCAGGAGAATGTGCATACTGATGTTAGGGTGTAAAGTGTTTAAACAAATCCACATGTTCAAAGCAGGGCTCTTATAGTTTTGTTTTTGTTTGTCAGTCAGTCCCAAGAATGTTTTACAGTCATGTAACATTGTGTGGGGAAATTTCAACAGGTATAGTTTTGTCTGTGCAAATACAAGCAGACAGGAAGATTGAAGTCTTGGAGAAGGAAAACAGTGAGCTAAAAGAAGAACTTGAACAGCTGAAATCCAAGTGTGAACAGTTAGAGGTATTGGTAAAAATAATTTTAAATGAAAACATTATCTGAAATGAATATCTCGGCCCATGTTGACAATTTTTAATTGTGGACAGATGTGCAATGCAGCAAGTTAAGCAAATATGAAATATTTTATTTGCATTTATTTTGCTTTTAGGTTGAGCTGAAAACATTTAAACATGAGACAGGCCCTGATGCAGTCAATGGAAATCAAATTTGAGAAACATTAAATCTGATTAGTAACCTGATAGCCAGACAGAATAAAGACCAGCTGGCCAATTGAATGATTGAGTGACTAATCATTAAAAGGACTGATTGACTGACTGACTGGATTACTGGATGATGACTGACTGATAAATAGATAGAGAGAAGGAAGAACAGAAAAATATATATGTGGGAATTTCTGAACCAATGGCTTGTGAATTATGTTTTGCATTGTACGAAATACATGAAATTTTGTTCTTGGGTAGATAACTATTTTCTTAGAAACATTTTTCTAATTTATATTAAATTATCATTATTCAATACCTACATTTATCAATTTTAGTATGATATCTTCAAAAATAGTCTATTTTATGCATATTGTACACCTGAAAATCATGGTTTTATAACAATCATTTTTACTAATATTTAGAGGAATGAAAAATTCAAGTTTGCATCAGATTTTGCATTTTCACCTTTTTATTACTGATCTATTCAAGATTGAATGAAATTTGTTGGATTATCACATACCTTAAAGAAAAAATTCATTTGATTGATTGTCTGAGCAGTCCACCCAATACAGATGGGACAGATTGACTCATGTGTTATTTTTTGAGAAAGTAATATTTGCAATCCGATGCTTCACAGATATGCACATTCTTTGAATCTGTGTGATAGAAAATTATTTTGGAATTCTAATACTTGAAAAAGCAAAGATAATACATTTTTTTTTTACTTTCTTTTCATTAATTTTATTTGTTCCTTTAGGTAGCTGTATTTTAATGTAGAAATGTAATTAAGGACATTTTATAACATTAATTATCAATAAAGGGCAAAATTACTGAGCGCTGATTGGTTGAGAGAGAGGGCATTTTTTCTTAATCGAGGGCATTTTTAGTAATCAAGAGAGGGCATGATTACCTGTTAATGATTGGCTAATCCGTTGCATAGCAACCGTTCGTTATCTTGAAATTTGTTAAAAATAGACTGCGCGCGTGATTTTCCTTCGTATAAATTTTGCCCTTTATTGATAAACAAGTAATCCCATGAGACCTCGTACTATTAAGGATTAATTGCACTTGAGTTTTCAAAATTTTGGAAAATTTTGAAAACTCTCGTGCAATTAATCCTTAATAGTACTTGGCCTCATGTGATTACATATACAAAGTGAAGGTAAAGAGTTTTCGTAAATTGTGAAATTAAAGCAGTTTTTTAGTACTGAGTTTTAGCATTTTCAACTATTTTCAATTGTTATCTTTGCTAAATGTTATTGAAGAAATTTAAAATGGTTTCCGTGTTTACATAGCCTGATGTAAACAAGCGGGAGGTTGGGAGAACACAAGATAAGCGTAGGAAACCACGACGCGAAGCGGAGTGGTTTCCAGCTTATCGAGGGTAATTAGGGCGCGCGTACTATTTGAATTATTTTATAATAATTATTGTTAAACTATAGCATGGTCATTTCCGATCAGAGCAAAGAAAACATGACAAGAAGCCATTGAGAACACAGGGTAGAGAAAGAAGCAAACTCTCTGAAGTGCGTGAAAAGGTACTTGAGCATGTCGCGGTTGGTTTTAGTTTTGCATCTGAGAAAGTGACGAGTTTTCTGGAGTAATCTCAGATCGAAATAAACAAACAAAACTAATTCAGGATTACCTGATATTATTGACATAAGAAAAAAAACTATTTTGTCATAGGAGTACGTACAATACATTTAATGCTGGAACTGTTTAGTCCAAATTATGGCAACAAGAGAAAAACGATGAGCGTAATACCCACCAACTATTGTCATTGTTCTTTACTGTTCTTTAGCAAACGCATTCTCAGATCACTCTGTCAAGTTTACTTCAATTTGAATTTTTAAATAATTTTTAATAAGTTTAGCATATAGGCGAGAGAGACCGAAGAAAAGGTGACTTATTTTTCGTTTTGTGTGTAAATAACGAATTACAGGTTTCCAGTTTCTTCAGCCAGGTTTGTTCGAGGAGTAGGATTGCCGGACGCGATCACTCATTGTTTTTATCAGCCTACGTGTAGCCAGACCCTTTCCCGTAAGGCTACACGTAGGCTGTTTCTATGTATTTAAAGTGTTTACTAAGCCAATTTTTAGTGTTGCTGAAGACGTCAGCCTTTGAGTAATTGTCTGTCTGATTGTATTGTCTAATCTAGTCGCAAACACGCGAAAATTTCCAGGTTTTCAGATAACAAAAAGAATTAAAATGTCTTCATCAAAGTCAGTTTTCATTCCGTCGCAGTTTTTGTACCCGCGCAGTTAACCTAATTACTTAAGAAATGAAGATCGTCAAAGTCATGTTGTTGATGTTTGCTGTATCGTTGGGATGGGGACGCGATCTTGAGCCTCAAAACACGAGGAAACAACCACAGGTAATGATTCTCTCTTCTGTCTCTCTGACTTTGGTAGAGTCGAAATAATACGGTCTACTGACACATGCAGAAAGTCTGTCGACTGTATCTATTGACACGTAATATTCAGGATCATTCAATGCTTCTCCTCTGTTGAACAGATCGACCGATTTACCCCGCAAAAAGAATTCCATCCCATGCACTTAAAGCCCATCATTTTGATTTCGCGATTCACCTAAAAGAGGTTTTTATTAGAGCTTTTCTGGATTTCCTTTCGTGAGTTGTTTCTATGTTGCCTCTCCTAAGGAGTATCGAACACGTAATGAAATGTTCTTCAAGACTTTTAAGATTAGTAAACCTCGGCAGGTTACTTCAGCTACTTTTCTTATGGTTCACGTTTGTGTCTTTCATTTTTTGATGAACAGCTTGTATATTACAAATTCTTCACACCCATGAAGCTGATAGCAGAGGCCTCGTTCATCCATCACCACAACTCCATCACTCCTCGTCTTCTCACCTTCCTTGGCGCTCCAAGCCAACTCTATCGTCTGATGATTGTTCCTCTGATTCCTCCTGGAGTCATTGACGCAGATGCTAAACTTGTCGTCAAGATGGCGGTTGCTTTAGAAACAAAATATGGCCAAGTAGAAAGTGACCCCTCTTTCGCTGTTTCTGATAGTAATCGCTTCATTGGTGTGCTAACAACTGATAAATTGAATTACGCATCTTATAGTCCATGTCGTGGTATCGAAGGAGATAGCGGGCTAACAATAACGAAGCGTAATACAGATAGCCCTCTCCCAAAGCCCTCCGAATCCTATTACCCAGGAAGATTCGACATCCAGCTGAGCCTGGCTGACAGATGGGGAACCTGTTTCGTCTCGCTCGATGGCGGCTTTAGCAGAGAAATGATTTATCAGAACAAGCTGAATCCTAAAAATGGCCTGTTCTTGGAGATCTATGGCGATGACGCAAAAGAAAAAGAAGGCATCAAGTACATTGAGCTGACTATCCTACGAGAAAACTGACATTTCTTGCTGCTCTCATGAAAAGAAGGAAAATGTCTGACTCAAAAGTTCACTGTACTTGTTGAGATCGTGCTGATTAAAGATGCACCTTGATCCCACATGTTAAACCAATTTACCGTTCTCTGTGTGTGTGTTTACTTTTCTCTTGTGCCTTTTCATTTCGAGACGTAAACCCCTTCAATATTTTTGAAAAATTCTTTTCTTCCCCTTCAACGCGATTTGACCACGCGCTTTCCTTGAAAATTGTCTTTCCGTGATAGTCTTGTAGTTCCTAAATGAATATCTCCAAAGCCTTGCGTAGACCTTAAAAGGAAAGTCTTTTTGATCGGTAAGTTAGCTACTGCTAGCCTGTGAGACAGCTTTAAGAACTTTTGGTTTTTAAAAACGAACAACGGTTTACTTGCAATTGGTTGTTAGAAACGAGCGACGCTTCTAGAGTCGTTACCGTAACATATAGACAATACTGTTGTCTCGGTGTACACTGATTTGATGTAATTGTGGTCATGTATTTCAATTCACACCACACAGTCAAATTCTTCATGGTCTCCAACGAAGGTCGCGTTCGATATGAACCTTTGGTTCTTTTCGATTCGATTTCTTTCATGGAACTCAGGCAAACCGACATTGAGATTGTTGTGGAAAATGAACACCGCTATTTGAGTGATAAAGATTTCTCAGCAAATTTTAAGCGTATGAGCCTGATCTTAAATGTAAGTTTTTTCTTCTGTTAACTCACAATAAGGCCTTTCGGCGACATTACTCGGGACTTGGGGCGAAATGACTTAAGCTCATAGGAGATAGTTACTACTTCAGGCGAGATGACTTTCAGGCGACATGAGAGGTTCCGGTCAGCGGATCATAATTTTGGCGGGAACTATAGTAAAGGTTGTGCTTCTGACTGATCGGTTGTTCGGAAGAGAGAAAAATGTCGTCTGCAGCAGCGATTTCTTCTGTGGTCGATGAATCTGCAAGAGACGAACCTGCTCTGTCTGATGAAGATGATCCTTTTGATTTGCCACCTCCTTTACCACCGCTTTCTCCTCATCGCGACGAAGACGAAATGAACCAAAATGGCGACGCAGATGGAGATCAGCCGGATGAAGGGGAAGGAAGCAAGAAAGAGTCAAACGCGAAGCGGAAAGTAAAAAGATCGCCGAGGCCGAAGCTAGACGAAATCAGGTAGAAAAAATACACTTAAATGAGCAAAGAGAATATATCGACTCGCCATCAAGTTCTTTGCAATTCCGCTAATAGATCAGCCCACCGTGAAATCGCAATTGACCAGGATCGAATTCTCACAGGGCTCTCGGATTATTTCATTTGACCCACGCTCTTGTAAAATGCTCATCATATTTCTTTGATATCTGAAATATTTGACAAGTATCTCAGAATAGAAATACGATACGCCGATAATTAATTGGAGCTAAGGCAATATGAAGGCATGGAGCATGAATGAATGTAGTTCAATTTTTTTCATTAACCCCTTGTAGTATCCCACTTCATATAAAGTAGAAGATTAAAGAACTGATTTTGTATAAAAAAAATTGTGAATTTTGCATTGTAGAGCTAAGGAACTTGAAACTTGATTTTATTTGGTAATTGAATTGTCACAATTTTATTACCTTTATGTGCTGGAAGCGACCTTTTGAAGAACCCAGTATGCAGAGTATGGCAAAACTCAACAACATTTTACATGTGTAAAGACGAATCTTAGGTGTAACATGTACAGTAAGAAGGGAAATAATTGCACGCACGCCATACTCTGGAGACAGATAAAGAACTTATACACACTGATGTATATGGCCATGGGTGACAAATACCCCATCCACACCAGCATAACATGTTTAGTTAAACTGTGTGTAACTGAATGAAATCAGAAACAGAAAACTAATGCATTTCGGTGGGTACTGACAAGGAGAATTTTTTGAACAATCAAAGAGCTTCTTAGATTAACAATCATTTCATTTATTCTCATGATCTTAACGAATGAGCCAGCAGTGATGCTGGAAGGCAAAACAAGATGCTGGTCACTCTTGCAGTTTAAAGGGTTATTTGTTGTTTTTGATCTAATCATTATTGAAATCTTCTAAGTAACCTTTACCAGAGTAAACAAAACATTTTAACCTTTGTGGCTCTTACTTTTGGATTTTTATAGGAGCCTAACAAATATATATTTTTTTTTTTGCAGGTTGTGCAGTGACCGTGGTCTTCCAGCTTTAACCCACCTTTGTGATGGAGTCAATTTCAAAGGGAAAGGTCATGAGGTACACATGATCTGTAAACTTATGATCTGCAAGAATGGTAGAGTATTGGAGCACTGAGTGCAGAAATGCTAGGATGATTCCTCATAGGAATTTAAGTTTTTTTCTTTGTTCCATGCTTGTGAAAAGATGAATATCAATTTTCTTTGAGAAAAAACTAGTCAGTATAAACTATAAAGTGGGAGACACTGGCCAAATGGTTTGTGTGTTGAACTTGAGGTCAAGAGGCTTAGGTTTCAGACCTTGCTGAGTCCTTATGTTCTGTTCTTAGGTCAAACCCTTTTACTTTCACAGTTCCTCTCTCTGCCCAAGAGAATAAATGGGTATCAGGGAATTGTCAGGGGGTAACCTTGCATGGACTGGCATCCCATCCAGGAGGGAGTAGTGATACTCCCAGTGGCTTCATGCTAAGGAAACTAGAATAAGTTTGAGCTGGATGAGCCACTTGGCTTGAGTACAGACTTCATCTTTTACCTTTAAACAATGAGCAAGTTTATTTTAGTCAACTTAGAGCCCTTGGTTCTTTCAGGCCTCGGATCTGAAGCTACTGTTGCAGCGTTATGAGTACTGGGCACATCGCTTGTTTCCCAAGTTTCCTTTTGCAGATGTTGTTGATCAAGTGGAAAAGTTGGGCAATAAAAAGCTAGTTCAAGTAAGAATTTATAAATATGGTCTCACTTTCCAGGATCAGAAGAAAAGTTCATCTTTATCTTGTCGTTAAATCTGCCCACATTTGAAATGGGAATATGAGGTCACAGGTCAGAGGTTGTGCTGGTATGTAACCTTAATGAATTGGAAATAGCAGCCAACCTTTAATGCAAACCACCCTCCCTCTTACCAAGTAACAATACTTACTGGTAAGTCTGTTTTTCAAATGGTACCAGGGATACTTAGATCATTAAAATTAACCAGAGTGCAAAACTGATATGATAGATTGCAGTACTTTTTTAATCTAGCCATTGAAATGTTCAGTACAAACCAATGGTATGTCTACATGCTTTTTGACTGGTGAGGTTTTCACAACTAGGGTTTTGGTGATCACAGTTATTCATAGTCTCCACACTGTTCTCTGTACAGTACTTGTGGTTCTGACAAGGAGAGTTTGTTTAACAATCAAGAGCTGATGCTGCTGATTTATCAAAAGGAACATGTTTTGTCATTAACTGTAGAACTGTATCAAGAGAGTCAGGCGAGGTGAACATGACACAATTGATGATGGAGGAAAATCAGATACAGAGCTTGATGCACAAGAGAGCGGTATGAGCATTATTACCTTGTACTAAACGCTTTATTCAATATTCCTCTACCAAGGAATTAACACGTTTTGCCCAAGGACTTTTACTCAGATCGCCTTTATGGTTATAGCTCAGTCTTGTCACACAGCTCATACTCTCCTGTGTTGTGTGACAAAGCTAAATATTTGCTTCAGACAAGTCAGACATTGATTATTCTGGATGATACATAAAACTTTCTAATTATTGTCATGTTTTAATTTGTCAGTGGGAGACAAAGTGTTTGGGTGGTTAGTCCACTGGACTCTGGGGAGAGAAGTCTGGGTTCGAGACCTGGTGGGGGGGGGTTAATTATGTTTTGTTCTTCAGTGAAACACTTTACTCTCCCCATGCCTCTCTCCACCCAGGACCCAGGAATATAAATGAATAGCAGTGAACTATCAGGGAAGCCTGTTGAAATGCTAGGGACTGACCTGGGAAGAAGGGGTTGGAAATAGTGATACTCAACTCTGGAAACCAGGACAAGCTTTGGCTGGATGTGCCACTTGGCTTCAGTACAAAGTTTGCCTACCTGACTATAATTTGGATATTAAAATATTCTTTTATTATTAGTAGTATCCAGGGATGATGGAACACAGTCACAAGTTCCTGCTACTCCTGTTTCAAACAATGTATGTATAGAAGGTCAATTTGTCATCTTTTATCTCCTCCACAAGTCAAACCTTTATGCCCTAACATCAGTTTGCATATTCTCCATAATGTATTCTGTACATTACCCAAAAAGTACATTTTCCGAAGGATGAATTACAACACGTAATTAACATTTTTTTGAAACATTTTCTAATTATTTCAGGTTCAACCATTTGGTGTACAAGTTGAGCCAAGAAACGGGATGGTAAGTTAAGAATTGTTTTTCATTATGACAATTTTCCTCAGCTTTGTTTTTCAGCTGATGCACATTAGCTTAATGCAAACTTCTCATTTTCTGCCTTAAAGGTCATTTTGACTCCTGAACAACAAGAACGGATGCGTTTGAATAGAGAAAGGGCATTGGCAAAACGCAGAGCTGCTCAGGAGAATCAGACTGCTCATGGAAACACTCAAATAAGTAAGTGTTACTCTTGAAGGGATTTCAAATCAAGTTCTGAACTACCTTATCACTCACGTGAAAAATTACTGAATGCTGATTGGCCCAGACGGAGTGTATTTTTTCACAGACTGAGGTAATTCTGGAAAAAATTCCAAACCCTCAAAAATAGACAAACAAACAAACAAACAAACAAGAGAAGTCTAGAATCCCAATATTTTCAACTTTTTCTTGATAAGTCACAGAATACCATACTTTTGTGGACATACCAGTGAATTTTACTACAGTTAGAACCTTCTGGTTCAGGCACTAGAAAGTCGAAATCAAAGGCCGAAGTGGTGAATAAATGACTGAAGATGTATGAAAGTCATACATGTGAACTGCGGTTGAAGAAACGAATATGGAAGCGATCCTTGCAGGTATTAACACTACCTTAGTAGTAGTGAAAATAAGGCCTGAAAAGAATTCAGGCCCATACGGGATTTGAACCCATGACCTCTGTGATACCGGTGCAGCGCTCTACCAACTTAGCTAACAAACCATCTGTCATTAAGATGATTTCAAAGAAACCCTGGAATTGGTGAACCCACAAAGACAGATACTTTTCGTGGGACAAAGAAAAAATTATAGGTCCTTAGAGGAATCGAACCTCAGACCTTTGGATTCCGCGCTCCGATGCTCTACTACTGAGCCATAGAGACTCTATGGTGAGCGGTGTGTTGTTCAACAAAGAACAACCATAGAAAACTAAACTCATAGTGTCTTGACCTTGAATGTTGATTACATGTCGTTATTCCCTGATAGATGACCAGACAACCGTCATCGAGGAACCCTCGCCATCTAATGAAGTTGTGGAGACTGCCAAAGACGCTGACAGCAGAGCAGGAAATGTTGGAGTGGAGAACGATTCTTCTGCGCAAGCAAATGACATTGAAATGTTTGATAATCAGGTGGACGTAACTGTAGATGTTTCGTTACCTGATGACAGAAGTTTGGAGTCAGCTGATGGCGCAGGAATGGGTTGTGAGAACAAGAATGTCAGAGAGGAAGATATTGAGATGGAAAATGCTGAAACAACAACGAATCTTGAAAATAGCAGCGATATAGCTAAAAATCGAGAAAACTTTCCAACAGTGCAAGATACGAATGTCAGTAAAGGCATTAAAGAGAATGACTTGTCAATCTCTGTCAACAAAGGAGATGCAGATTCAGAGACTACCTTCCATGAAGACGAAACAACTTCCGCTTCATGGATGGAGGATATCCAGCGAGAAGGGGCACATGAAACACCAGAAACGCGGCCCTCAGAGCAAGGCCCCACTGAAAACGGGCTTGATGGGGATCAGAACACGGAAATGGAACCGGAATCATAGATTTGAATTTCTAGATGGATATAAACGGAAATCCTCTATTATTTGTTCGTCTTAGATTAAGAATGTCCTCTGGGTTTGTCGGTGAAGCTCGAAACAGAATAGTATGTAACAGGATACCCGTATTTGAGTAAGCTTTGTTTTTTAAAATACTTGAGTTTTTCTGTTCCCGACTTTAGGTCCTTTTACAGATATCTGTGAACGTTTCGATTTTAAGTCGCTTATTTTGCGCAACAGCGGTTGTTTCTTATATGTTTCCTTTGAAATTTTGCGCGGGAAACTAGTGCGCGGCCGACGTTTGACCGCTCTGTTGCTCAAGACCACGTAACATGCGCATATTCTATTCAGCAATGACCACTGGTGTAGCTACATGTCTCCGCCTTAATCTGCTTCGTGGATACTATTTCTAAAACTAATCGCTGCGATTCACGTTCTTCCCGTGATCGAGTTACGGGGACAAAGTTATGTTGCAGGGATGATGAAAGGCATCGCCGGCCGATGTTTCTCGACCTTTTAAGAGCTTTGTTCGAAATTCCCTAAATCACATTATGCAAGGGATTTCCCCTCTCCTTCTCTAACCTTCCCACGATAGTATTTTTTACTCGCGCTTATGCCTCCGTTTTGCGTGAGAACCATCAAGTTCGTGAGACCTTCGCATCGTCAACCATGGGGGAAGTTCATTTTTGTTCATTGTAGCTGCGTAGAAAAATCGAAATATATTAGAAACCTTTAATACCACGCAAATTTCATTTCCGACAATTGTAACGTCTTAGTTGTTTGTACCGCTGTGAAATTGTTAGACAATAATAACCTCATGACTACCAATTAAATATATGTAATTTTCTTCTACGTCTTGATTCATGCTTGGGCGTTAGTCAGGGTCGTTAATCTTTGCAGGTGTTTACTGAACGCCTTTCACCTCAACATCATAGACGTGGGCTTTTCTCGTGGAAATTACAAGTAGAATTTGTTTAATATGCGAGTCCTTGCATTCGCAATCATTTCCTTTATTCTCAGTACCTTAATGTTTGATTCGGGGTTGATACTGTTGGAAGAAATTAAATGGTGATCTTTCCTAAGGACTTAAGGGTTGAGAGTCGATTCCTACGTAGGTTGCCAGGCACAGTTAGATTAGATACACCTTTTAATAAAATCTTTATTGTGTATCAGAATTCTTGAATTCTCTTCCACTCTTGTGTTTGATAATAATATTAAATATATATCAGCCCAAAGAAAGCACTTACGGTGATATTGGTCAAATATCCCCCAGTTTAAATTGAAATAAATACAAAACAGAACCCGTTAAGACTGACTCAAATTGAGGCCCTAATAAACCACGTACCATTTGCAAACAATAGTGTAACTGACAGGACATTGAAAGGGTCGAAAAGAACCCGTCAGGGGTTAATGTGAGGAAGTTTTACGACGAGAAGAAAGATCGGAGATGACAACACCGACAGAAAAAAACAAAGATGCCGCAAGGTGACCTGTAATTTTTAGAGCTACTTGACGAAAATCCAAGTTTTCTATAGTGAGTAAGGGTGTTCTCAGTTCTTTTACATCATTGGTGGCAAATTTGTTGAAGATTATAAAGAATAGCATAGCATCTTATGGTATTTTTACAATCTACTTAACCGGATATATGTGCCCCACGTTACAAACGCAAACCGTTAAATTGTGAAAGAAAAAAAAGACTAACTGAGCCGCTGGATACCATTAACCACTTATTTTCTGATGTAAAAGTATTCTGGCTACTATTTCCCACTTATTTTCTGGTGTCAAAATATTCTCTGTTTCCTCATTTAGGCCCAGTAACTGACACGCTACCTGTCACACATAAGTCACGCTTCTAAAATACACGCCACGCTGCTAAAGCGCCGTTGTCATAACCACCAAAGACAAACAGTGCGACAAATTCTTCAGCAAGAACAACACAACTGAACAAGATTTTTTTGTGAAATAACCACACTTAAATGACTGTTCTCAAAGATCGTGACTTAACATCGATCGGATCTGAAAGCTCTAAGTTGTAACAATGAAAGTCTCTAGATAAATATCTTGCTTAGAAATAACTAATATCAAAAGAAAAAAGCTGGTTTTGTAACCCTGCTGACTATAATACAACTCATTAACTATAATTATAAACTTTTCTGCAACATTCAAAGATAACCTACGCGCCTCACCCTGCGTTTTTCGCATTAATGGTGCCCTAATGATTCCAAACACAACTATTAGTGTTTTAATAAAGTACATTTATATACTATAGGTGACTCCCAATAACTCGAATCAGATCAGAAATACGGAGTATGAAAAAAAACAACAACAAATGGGAAAATTTTGGACCAAAAATTACTTAACCTTACAAGTTCAATTCAAGTAAAAAACAAAATGGTGGTATTTTATATTCATTATAGAGGAAGATTTTCTTCACCAAACCAAGCAACAGATCTCACAAAATTTTGTACCGCACTTTGACAGAATTTGGAGTTATTGCGAGTAAAATTGTAAAGGACCTGAAGGGTAAAATCTTTCCGAGTTGACAGGAATTTTGATCTCTACTTGTTTTGAGTTTTTCAATGTAATAAGTTGCGATTAATCTGTACATCTAATTCAGGCAAATTAAATTTTGGTTCAGGTTAGCGGGAGATTCGAGTTACCAGGAGTCAATTGAGGTTCAGGTCTTTAAATAGAGCTGAGCACTTTCTCACTATTTTAGTTTTAACCGAAAAATGATTGTAAATCTTCCAAAGGCAAGCCATTCCATAAAACACCAGAAAATTCTCGGGGAGGGGAAGGAATGCTCTGTCGCAAAAAATTTAGCCAAATAATGTTACAAGCATTTGTGATAACCTTACTGAGAACGTATATTGTTTATATTGTCAACATGTTTGAAAAAAATTCTAAGGAAAAGATGAATGACCTCATTTTGTTAGCGATGTTCCTCCATGGAAGGTCCCTGTGGCATCCAATTCTGATCGCCGTACCAGGAACTTATATCACGCGAGTCCTTCCTGTAATATCCGCGCTCTATGAACCACGAATCTTCGCCCTTCTGACGCTCAGTTTCACGTCCTTCTGCACGCCGGGTATACCAAGGTACATTGTTCAACCTCTGAAAGGCACGATCGTGCGCTCGATCGAAAAACCACGACGGATCTAATGGACCTTTGTAAGGCTTGCGCTTCGTATCACAAGGAAACCAGGACTCGTATTTGTCGGTGCTTCGTTGGAAATCTCGATCTTCTGCTCGGCGCTCATACCACGGCTCAGACCGCTGATGGGTGCGACCTTTGGCGCGCTCAAATAACCAATTAGGAGGTGGAACGGACTCAACTGTCTCGGAATCAACGGAATTGCTTACTTTGTCTTCTTGCATGTCGGTATTTCGCCTATTCTTTCTTTTCTTCCCTTTGCTTGACTGAGTGCGATACACTTCGTCGGACAAAATCGGTCCTTGAGGGGATAACTTCTTCTGAGAATTTTTTGGCAGATTAAATCTCTTTTCCAACCACTCTTCAACTGACAACCCAATATCTTTTGGTGGAATTGGGCCTTCGGGTGAAGATGTATCTAGGGAAACTTTCCTATGATTCGCCTCTTCGTACGAATAATCAGACCTTACTTGGCCATCTTCGCCAGAAATCGGACCTTGCGGTAACTTAACATCACGCTTCACAGTATTCCTATTCCTATCCTTCCACCACCTATTATCACGTGGCCGTTTCGGCTTTTCATCGGTTCGCTTCGGTTTCTTAACGGAACTCTTCGGACCTTGTCGTGACTTCTTCTTTCCAACATCGTAAGTCGATTCTTCAGAAACTATGACGAAGGCCGTCTCTGTGGTTTTGTCCGAATCATCCGAAGTTTTTTCCGCGCGTTTTGGTTTAACATCTCCCTTAAGCAACATTCTCAACATAAGATCCATGTCGAACGTAAAGTTTGTAAAACCAGCAAGCGCTTTATGCTCAGGTACCACTGCTATTTCTGACTTCTTAACTTCTTCTGGCATCTTGCGTTCTTTTTTATTTCCCTTCTTCTCAGTCTTCGAAAATATTTCTTTTGCCTGGACTCTTCCATTTTCCCAATCGCATCTTTCGGTCGATTTCTCTCTGTCTTTAGTTCTCTTGGCCTTTGCCGAGTTCAAATCACGCATGTTAAGTTCTTTTTCTTTACTATCTCCTGCGTCGTGGTGTGTTCCAGAAGTCTTTCCCTCATTGCTTCCAGCATCAAAATATGGCTTTATCAAACTCCACGGCCAATTGATCGTTTTTCCTGGCTGTTCAAGAGCTTTCTTGGGAACATCACTTAACCACTTTCCAACATCTTCTAACTTTTTCCTAAAAGACACTTCGCCATCAGTCCACGGCCAATGACCCTGTCCTTGTTGGTGTTCAATGGCACTGTTATGAACATCGGACAACCACTTCTGAATACCCTCCAACTGCTTTTTAAAGGACCCCTCGCCATCGCTTCTTTTTCTTTTTTCCTTGGTATTTTTTGGACGTGACGCTTCTTTTTTCACGTTATCAGACCGCATCTTCCATTCTCCTTTGGAAAACTTACTCTTTGCACCTTCTCCCTTTGCCCTCCGTTTTTCTTTATCATATTCAACTTGCTCAGCGATAACAGAGTCATATTCTTTTTTTCGCTTCCTTTTCTTCTCATCCTTTTCCACTTTGATCCTCAGTTTTTCGTTGGCCCGTTTTCCCGTTCGTTTCCTTCCCTCCTCTTTGACCTTCCAAATCTTTTCCTTGCTTTCTAAATTTTTCCTCTTACGGGGCAGCTCTTTGCTCCGTAAGTTTTCTTCCTCCTTAGCCTCAATCTCAACTTCTTTGGGTACCCTTCCATCATTTTCCACGGTCTTTCTTAAATCTTGCCCATTAGTTTTGTCTACGGATTCATTTCTTAGTTCATCTTTATCTTTTAGTTTTTTACTCTCCACTGTACGCCGAGTGTTTTCTTCCTTTTTCCTCCGCTTTTCTTTGTCGAACTTGGGTTGCTCATTGACAACAGAATCATATTCTTTTTTATGCTGCCTATCAGCTTTTTCTCGTTTCTTCCTCGCCTTTTCGTTTTGTTTCTCCTTCTCCTGTCTTTTTATGTTACGGAGCTCGTTTAACCATTTTTTATACTCTTCTTTTGCCGCTTTCTTCAAGGACTTCAGTTCTTCCTTCTGTTGCCGCAGCTTGTTCTTCTCTTGAACAATTTTGTTCCTAAGGCGCTCCACTTCCTTCTTCTTCTCTGCACTTAAAGTTTTCTCTTTAAGCTTCAATTTGTTCCTCTCTTTGGTCAACAGTTCTTTTACTTTCTCCCTAAGTTCCACTTTCTTTCTCTTCAATTTCTGCTTTTCTCTTTTCAGTGCCACAAAAAAATTGTTCATCTCTGTTCTGTTCCTTTGATGACGTTCTTTTTCGGAAGAAATCCTCTTCTTCTCTCGTTTAAGTGCCTTCCAAGAGCGCCGCAGGTTTTTCTTCTCTTTCTCCAAACGGCGCCTTTCACGCCGCATCTCTGACACCAAGCGGTCAGCCTCCTCAGCGCGCAACTTAGCCTTCTTTTCTTTCTTTTTTAACTCGCGCCGGAGAATCCTCTGTTTGCGAATCTCTTGCCCACGTAACTGCGTCAAATTTTTCAGCTGCTGCTTCTCTTTGCTGAGGAAGTGTCCATCTGATTGAACAGAAGTTCGGTTTCCCTTTCCTCTCTTCTTCAAGTATCCACTTCGACTGTGACGTTTTCTCTTGACATTAGAGGCCTCTTCGCTTTTTTTCATAACAGATGCTTCGTATGACTTTAAAAGATGAAAACCCGCAACATTTCCTTCCGATTTTCTTGATATCTTAGTATCTTCTTTGGTTGGTATGCTAGGCGCTTCCTTAGCATAGGATTCGTCGTCGTGAATCCAATTTCCATCACTTGTACTGTCTACGTACGAAATAACTTGGAGGTCTCTTTGCTGCGTTGTTACTGTAGGGGATAAGGTGTTCGCATTTCTTTCTAAATCTATGTTTGAATAATACTCCGGAGTTCCGTGGCCAAGAGGGAAAATTCCGTTAGGAAATAGAGGATTTTCAAAAGGAACACTTATTTTACGGAAATCTTGGCATATTTCTTCAGAGGGGCTATTGCGGCCTTTACTTTCTCCGTCTAAAGACTGCGACTTCTCAGTTTTCTTATATTCAAAATTTTTATCGGTTGTTATCGGATCTCGCACGGATTTTTTGGCTGTTCTATCCAAGAATTTCTCAATAACAGAAGCAGAGTATGACATTATAGAGCGGTCCTCAGGGAGAACACTTAACTCCTTCCTTTCACTGGGATAAGTGCACTTTCCAGTCTTTGACTGACAACTAGCATCCGTTTCTCCCTTCAAATGCGAATCTACTGTCCAACGTTTTCTAAAGTCCGTCCAGACGTTGTCCCACGTATGCTCTTTGGTTCTACCTTGAGACTTAATATCTAGTCCTTTGGAACCAATGGTGCCTACAGAGTCTTCGTGTCCCGGCGTTTCTGTCTCAATTGACAACTTTTGACTTGTATTTACGCTAACGGTTCTGAACCCATTCCTTTTCCAACGATGAAAATAATCCTTCCAGTACCTGCAATAAACGTAAGACAACTCCAGAATCATTCAGTTACCCTTTGAAGTAGCTTCCTTGTTAGAGCAACACTGCGCAAATATAATTAACCCTTTACACCCTTACATCAGTATGCATATTCCCCATACTGTTTTCTACACAATTCCTAAGGTGCTGACAAGAAGAATTTGTTTATCAATCAAGAGAATATTTAGTTGGTGATCATTTCCTTTATTCTCATGACCTCACTGTGTCATGCAGGGGTTAAATAGTCGGGAGAAATTAGATGTTAGTCGCTCTCAGGGGTTAAAGAGTTAAGCTTGTTTTTACTTTGGGTTCTCGCTAGCTCCTTGAAATATGGGCTCTGATTGGCTGCCGTGTTCACTTTAGTTTTACGACACTCTCTCGAATTGCGCTCTATTGATACACCTTGTGAAAAGCCCAAAAGTCTGGAGAGCAAAGAAATTTACTTGATGACTTTCTCCTAAAAACCCTAGACAACACTGGACCTTTGTATATAAATGTACTCCTGTCTTGCTTAATACAACTCATTACTAGTCGCTGGTCACAGAGCTGAATAAACACTGAGTAGTTGACATCGACACGCCTTCCCTATTCCTCCAAAGACAACTGAACACAGCTAAGCTGCACTTACCTATCTATCTTGATGCCTCCAGCCACAGCCTTTCTCAGCTTCGAGTTCTCGTTCATACGGCGCCACAGATCAGCAATTTGTTTTTCCTTTTCGTAGAGCCTCTCCGTTTGTTCGAGCTGTTCTTGTAAAGCTTTACTCCACTCACTGCTTCCTTTATTAGACTTCTCCTCCTCATACTTCAGCCGCCAGTACCATGACATGACTTTGCTCATGCGCAAACGCTGTTTTACACTTTCGTGCATGCTCATGAGCTTGAAATGTTTCAGTTGGAGCTTTTCGTGCAGTGCTTTCGTGTCAAATAGATCATCTATTTCCTTTTCATTTTCTGACTCTTCATGAGTTTCAAGGCGTTCTTCTAATTTCCACATTTCCAGCTGATCTAGGAAATCAACTGATACTTCATCCAAGGGCTCCATGGGATCGGAGTTTAGTGGAAGAGAGGCTGTCTTGGGCCCAGGTCTCTTGATGCTCCCAGACATCTCCAAGGCTCGGTTGCTGATAAAAACACTCAATCCTAAATAAAGTGGAGATTGGATATGAACCTTCATAAATTCATGAAAAAAATATGTTTCCTTCCATCAGCTAAATTTATTTTTTTTTTTTTTGGTTGTGGTAATATTTTCAAGCTGTCTCACAGGTACAACCAAAAGTGAAACATTTTAACTCATAACACCTAATCAAGCAGTCAGATAGTTTATATACATACATATATTAAGTGTAAAACAGTGCTCAATACATAGGAGTGATCTCACTCTCTCTATCACAGCTCAGAATTTTTCAAAACATTATCCTAGCCATGGGTGGAACCTTAAATCAAGAGACTCTTCATAAATTTGAAAACATTAGCCATTTTCCTAGTTTATATTTCATTAATGCCAAACTTGTTTCCCACCTGAAATATTAAAGAGTCATCTTTCATTCTTTACAACCTACCATCATTACACACATTTTCCTTACTGTTCTCTATACATTTGATCAGGTGCTTACAAGGAGAATTTGTTTATTGATCAAGAGCTTCTTTGGCTGGTGATAACTTCCTTTATTTATGTGACCTTAATATGTGATTCAGGGGTGATATTAGACGAAGGAATAAGATGCTCCTAACTCTTAGGAGAAAAGGGTTTACCAAAAAATTTGTTTCCATTAAAAAAAGGCATCCTCCAAACAAAACCCTTGCAAAATTATCATTCTCTGAAATACATTCATTACAGTAGTTAAAGAGCCATTATCATTATCATTATGCCTTACCATAGCCAATACTGAATCCCAGAGCAGTTGTTACACCCAGAACTACGAACAAGGTTGGAATATCAACATGGAAGATATTGAAATTGTCACTTCCTTCTGTCGCAGTATGATCTTCCATTGGTTCATCATCCTCATCTCTTCCTTTGTCCTCATCAATGACTTCAGACACTTTTGTTAAATCAGAACTGCCATTTTCAACCTCATTGTCTTCATCCAAATCACTAGGATTAAATAAATCACTATCAAATGAGAAAATGCTGCTTGTAGACACAACCATTTCATCATGTGGTTCATTTTCATGACTTAGGTCTTCATAGTCTTCGTTTTCATCTTGTTCAGGGATTGTCTCAATGGCATTATCTTCGTCAGAACTGTTTGAATCATTACCAAAGGAGAAAGAACCACTCTCTGAGAGTAGAGGAAGTTCTTGCCAAACACAGGAATTACTGTCTGTTGATTTAGTGAGGGAATGTACACTTCCTGCATGATCAATGTCCAATTCAGAGGGCAACTGATCATCATTGCCTTCCACAGAAGAAACATCCTGGTCGACACAGTAGTGATTTGAAATGATCATAATACCATCATCTGCAGCACACTGGCAAGAGCTTTGTTGAACTGTTGAAAGCTCATCTCCTCTCTCAGATTCTTGACCAAGATGTAAATCATTCTGGGTTTTGGTTTTTGTTGTAAGATCAGAGTCCAGGTTCTTCTCTTCGACTGGTGGTTGATGACACTGAAATCCACTGAGGACCTCAAACTCTGCCTCTCCTTCACTGTCATCTGTAGCACTGGGTGACTCAAATGTGGAAACTAACCCATCAGCATTTGAAGGTGACTTGGAATAGGATACAGAGTTCTTCCTTGGCTGAAAAAACCAAAATCTAGCTTTGAAATTTTGTTTCCTAGAATTTAATTTTTCTGCACACTAGTATAAGTTTCTTAATTCAATAAATAAATTAAAAAAGACATTAGACAATTTAATAAGATAATACATGGATGAATAACAAATTCAATTTTAAAAAAGAAAGAAATAGGCTGAATTAAGCTGTTTTTTATGGTTTCTTTCAAGTACTAAACATTTCAACAAAGGAAACCAAATAAAACTTTTAAAGCAAGGAAATATAAAAACAAAGAATGTTCTTCATTCACAGCTCCCTGAAATTCTAAGATTTAACCCTTTAACTCCCAGATCAAATTTATTATTCTCCTTCCTGTCTTATCATACAATTCTTATAAGGTTAGTTTGGAGAATTTAGTATTGGATCAACTAATTATACACAAATTGATATTTTTCTTTATTCTTATCACCTATCTAGTTGATATTGTATTGATATTGTAAGGAGAAATTTTGTCTTGGTCACTCATGGGAGTTAAAGGGTTAAAAGAAACAAATTGCTTGGCCAGCAAAAATTTCTTCAAACAGAATCAGCACCAAATGCTATTGGATCCATACAATTACTGTATTTATGACAGTAATTATTTTAAATATTGTTATTTATAACAGGTATTGCAGTAATTTTGGAATTTAAAGTAAACATTTATAAGATCATTATTAAAAATAAAATCAAAAAACTTCTCTGCCTAAGTAGGCATGGCTAGTAACTTAAAATAATTTCAAGAACTTAGGTGGTGGCAATTGCTTAGCATTAAAACACATTTCTCAGTTTTTGTTAATATTCTTGAAACAATCTCTGGTAGCTTGAAAATCAATGACTCCTTATAGCAATCAATTAAAGTAAACATTCTATTTTTCTTTCTTCTTTCTCTGCACCTACAAATTTCGTGGCCAAATAAATCTGAAATTAAGATGATCATCTACTGATGAATTCAACATTAATTTTATTTACATAAATTGAGTCAAAATTATAGAAATTCTACTTATCCAAAGTGAATTCTCAACATAAGAATCTGTATCACTAAAAATTTTCTAACTTAAGATCAAATCAGCCAAATAGTGAGAAGGTATCATTATGAAGCTGACAATTCCCTTGATATTTCTATTAAAATTAAAATCACTCCAATTTAATGAAGAACTTTGACCTTGACAAAGAAATTATTTAACAAAAGTTACAGTTTGCTCGGCAACATAATTTTTTCGCCCAGTGCGGACTGCTGAATGTAACAACAGCAATGGGCTGAGAAAAGGAGGTAGAGAGTACAACAAATTTGTTATCATTTTCACGTTTAATAATAAACACCCGGCTTATGTAATCACAGGTGTAAAACGAACGTGGTTATCACGTGGTTATTGTTGACAGGCGAAAAGGTAAATACGACAAGTCCAAAATGCAAATTTATGGAGACTTGGGGACGTTTTGTAAACAAACAGCCAAAATAATAGTACGCTTGGCTAACTAGCCGTGTTGCTAATGCACGGGGGGGTTTTGTAACACCCAAAATTGTGCTGCGATTCACCTAAATTAATGCAGGTTTCGAACATCCTGAATTTACACTCCAAATGGCGGAAAATCCCGGCGCCAAAATTTTGGGCGGTTGAAGCATTTGCATTTAGAATATACCCCACCTAGATTAGACGATTTCCACAAATTTACCTATGTAGAAGGACTAGTTAAACTGAAGACATATTCATTTTTAAGCATGAGAGTGTGGAAAACCAGAACATTTCTTTCGCTGAAAACGACAAGAAACTTAAGATGCACTTTACCTCGATGTCAACTTTTCCATCCTTATCGACAAAAGTCCACTCGTTTTCAAAATCGTCTGACATTTTGGAAGCCATGACTCCCGCAGAAAATTAATCACATAATGAAAAGACGACTTAAACAAGAGATTTCTCTAAACGCCGCTACTTACTAGCACACGATTCTGAGATATTTACTATCAACAGTCGAATGTTTTGGTTTTTGCTCAACTAAGCGTTTCATGTTGTCAATCCGGGATAGTGGTCATGTGATAGTAACTAGCCAATTACAGCATCTACATTTGAATATTTTTGCTCCTGTTTCACGCCCCCTGTGAAGCTAACCAATCAAATAAAAGCTGGATGTAAATAAAGTTTACGTTCCTTTAAGTTCGTGGTAAAAGTGATGCAATTTTTGTCATTTGGAACAACTCCTACGTGTAGAAAAGTATAACTGCCACGTATACTTCAAATCGCTTCATCTGAAGGATTAAATGTCAATAATTTCTCAAATAACTCACTCTTCGGCACTTTTACTTTAAAAATGTACACAAGCAGAGCGGTTTCGCTTGCGGGAAGAGCGTCAGAATTTGCATATAGGAAGGGAAAAAACGCTGGAAAGTTGCCATTTCTGCAACTGAACAGTTTTCAAAATATGCCAAGAAACTGAAGGTGTCACAGCATATGTTTTTAAGCTGAAATTTTTCAGCTGTTTAAGTTGGCGTTTTAGACATAGTCTCATAGACATACTATTTCTCAATATGGACAAACGATTGGCTGAGATAGAGAAAGTTGTGAAAAGAGTGGAAATTTGACAATAAGAAAAGAAAACGAAATAAAGTTAAAAGCCGTTTCGATATATTTTTGAAAACAGTTAATTCTCATGCATAGGGCACCCTGAGAACACTCTTGAGATGAATTCTAGATAGAGAAAGTCAGCCTGCTTCAGTTTTTTTTTTTTTTTTGCTGAGCAAACAATGCAAAATATTAGCTTGGTAAATAGGAGTATTGAAGCACTACAAGCATTAATCTTATAATTTTCTTCAATAGCAATGTCTTGCTTTTCTACACAGCTCACTCAAGGTCATGGTTAAGAAAAAACCCTTTTTAGGTGTATTCCCTTACTATACATTACTTGAAGGAACATCACCACAGCTACCTCTTGTAAATAAATATGTGTATTGTAAAATTTCTCCCTTTGATTTCCATGTACATTATTATCCAATCATAAAATTCTTTACATTCACTAAGTGACATCAAGTTGCTAAACTATCATGTTTTTATTTGCCTACTTTTATTTCAAATACAATTATACAAGGCAATTAACATTACAGTTCACTTTTGATAACAAGTGTTGATCACAAGAGTATCTGATTTAAGTACAAATATTAGCTAATACAGAGTGAGATAGCTGGTGGTCGTGAATTACATCGCTTAAAAAATCAACACAAAAATTAAAATCCCTTGGAGCAAGAACCATTACAAAAGTTTGTTTGAGCATACTTCTAAGTTCCAAGGCATTAATGCATGCATTTTTGGCTCCTCCTGAACCCCAGGGAACCCACTAGGACATTGAGAAGGAAAAGGAATTCAAAGAACATCTGATGTGTAACCACAATTTGTCAGAGCGATGACAAAGGGCCTAAGCTTGAAACATCAGCTTTGAAACTCTTTATGGTGGTTAATTTACACTATCAACTCCTTGATAAGACTAAATTACCCTGTTACACTCTCCCACCAATGCAGCACCACAGTTTCTTTAGAAACTTACCCTCTTTATTCAATTGTTTTGAGAATGGTCTAGTTTAACCAGCAATATATTCTCTTTGAGGTCATTTTTCTCAGTTCTTACTCAAGATGGTCATTGCAGTTCTTTTCACTCTACATAACTTTTGCTGGTCTTCACTTGTTAGCTAGAAATGGGTCACAGGCATTGGGAGAAATTTTCTGTAGATTTCATGCTCAAAAGATGGCAAAAAAAATATTTTTATAAATTCTGTACACAAAAAGTTCACACTCAGGGATTGGACAACATTTGCAATTCAGACTTAAGTGGTTCTGATTGTGAAAAATGATTGTAAAAAATGTATGGGAATCTAAATTATGTACACAAAAAGTTCACACTCAGGGATTGGACCACATTTGCAGTTCAGACTTAGGTTGTTCTGCTTCTGAGAAATGATTGCAAAAAATTTAGGGGAATCTCTTTGATGAGCAAACTTGAACATTAGCAAAGATCTAATTAGACTAGTTTAAACAATGCCTTTTAAAAATTTGATCACTGAGTAATGTATAATTTTTACAACTACCAATAAATGTATTTGAATTATGTATCATGTAGGAATCAATCACATCATTCAAATTCAGTTTTTTCCTCAAGCTTCTGTTTGCTACCCAAAAAAGGAAGGCAAAAAAGTGAAAATTAAAAAAAAAAAATTATGACCAATTTTTCCAAGTTCGATTTCCTACAGGATACGAAGTGTAAGCCATTCCCCAAAAATTTCACTCCATCAAGGGTTTGCCCCATATGATATTTACCCCTAAAGCACAGTCTATACAGTATTCCACCCCAGCAGGACCGAGTGCATTTAACTTCCTCAGACAGAGTCATACTAATACTTATATTGCCATCACTGTGCAATTAAGCTTGATTCCACCTTGATTTTCACCTTATGAGGCTTGCGATCGCAGTATTCAGCTTCACGATGTCATTTTCGGGATAGAAGTCACCAGCAGCCCACCTTAATTCATATCAAGTACAGGTAAATTCTTGGAGACATCACATTACACATTTCATTTCAGCGAGCGACATAAGAGAGGTTAATTACTTTTCAGATGCTTTTTCTTCCCTTGCTTTTTCTTTTGCAGAATTCTCACTAGGACGATCTTTCTTTTGGGCCGACGTTGTGCTCTTTGCCTCAACTGCAGCTTGAATGGTGGCGCTATCCTCCTTCTTTGTACCATGTTCACTCACGTATCTCTCGAGCAACGGTTTGTAGATATATACACCACTTGTAACTCCGACTAAAGTCACTATAAATAACTGATGTAGAGGCATTCTTCCGATGCTTCTGATGAAGGAAAGCACCATTTTAGGACCAGATCGTTACGGTCTATCAAATATCATCAGGCGTTACTCGTTAGCGATAGAGTTGAGACTAGGCTCCACACTATAGAGACGCCTTGTTGATTTTGATACCGAAGGTGAAAATGGAGGTCGAAGAAATTGGAGGATCTGAGCTCAAAAGAAGAAAACAGGCTCAGATGGATAAGGAATCAGAGCAGCCATCTTCTATCTACCAGGGAGAAATCACCATGGTATCTCCAAATGTTATTTACCCGTCAAAAAATTGGCTGTTTCCGGCATTACTCTTCTTTAGGGTCATCAATGCTGTGGTGATCCAGACATTTTTCGTCCCGGATGAATTTTGGCAAGGACCCGAAGTAGCCCATAGAATTGCATTTGGATATGGATATTTGACGTGGGAATGGAAAGAGGGTCTTAGAGGCTGGACTTATCCTTTGATCTTTGCAACAAGCTACAAGTGCTTAGCCCTATTTGGGATTGACACCGCCAAGTTCCTTGTTGTCATTCCCAGGGTGTTGCAGGCATGTTTTGCGTCGTGTGGCGACTTGTTTTTGTACAAATTAGCAGCAAAGAGGTTCGATGTACAAACTGCTCGATGGACACTCATCTGCTACTTGATCTCGTGGTTTACACTTTACTGTGTGACTAGGACGCTGACAAATTCCCTAGAAACCGTGTTGACAACAGTAGCACTTTATTACTGGCCATGCGGCAGCAAAAAAGATGGCTTTAAACAAGTGTTCAAAGCTCTCTGTATTGCAGCGTTTTCTTGTACTATCAGACCAACAGCTGCAGTCATGTGGATTCCATTGTGTGCTTTTTATTTATTTTCATCACCAAACAAATTATCATTTATAGTTAACTGTATATTTCCCATTGGATGTCTGGCTATTTTATGGTCCCTCATTGTGAACAGTTGGTGTTATGGCACATGGATACTGGTGGAACTCAACTTCATCAAGTTTAATGTTATTAATGATATGGGAACATTTTATGGAAGTCATCCATGGCACTGGTAGGTAAAATTTGGACTCCTCTAGCTTGGAGCAGTTCTTTCCTTCAATAAAGGAAAGGGAGCTCTTTTTGTAGAATACAATATGTGAGTTGTTCTTCAAAAATTATGCTTCTGCCTTGGCTAATACCTGCATATTTCACAGGTATTTCACCCAAGGATTTCCTGCTGTGATGTTTACACACTTGATTCCATTTGTTGGTGGTGTTTACAAATCTTCCCAAAGGCAGCAAACCTTGACTTTTCTAATCTTTTGGAGCATCGTTGTCTACAGGTTTGTTGCAAATGGAAAGAGAACCCTAAATCTTTCTTTTTTAAATAAGAGCTAAACTTTTGTGATAATGTTTTGCCAATCTCTGAAAACCTGGCGATTAAATATTGGGGATGTTTGGTACAGACTGTTCTGAGTGAAAAGTGCACCATCCTGATTTTCTGCAACATTTGAATTATTAGTCAGTAGGATCAGTTGTATAGTTAAATACCAGATTATAATAAAAACTATTGTTTTCCCCTTTTTTCTAGTTTCTTGGGACACAAGGAGTTTAGGTTCATTTTTCCAGTGGTCCCCTTAGCCATGTGCTACTGTGGTTTCTATCTAAGCTTCCTTTCTGGGTATCCGTGTGAGAAAAAGGATCATGCATTTAGTCGTGGTTTTTCAAGGAAGATGAAATCTGGTTGGAAAGCAAAGATAATGGTACTATTTCTAGCGCTAACAAACATTCCATTGGCTATATACACTAGCACTGTTCACCAAAAGGGAACTACTGATGTCATGGAGTACATTCAAATTGAAAGCTCCAAACTGAGAAGTGCTAATGACATGTCTGTATTATTTCTGATGCCATGTCACTCGACACCATTTTATAGGTACAGTACTGTTTTTAATTTTGATGGTTGCTCCTGTGAAACTGTTTTCAGCTTTTTTTGTACATGTATTTGCTTTCCTTTTCTTTAGTATCTAACTACCCCATTCCAAGTTTTAGTTCAAGGAAGATGACTGAAAAATAGGAAGTTCAAAAAATTTTTTTTGCATGCAAACAAGATAGGATCCATTAGGTTACAAACTTCATCATTTTTCTCATTTACCTCCTTGTAATTCACTCTTCTCCATGAATTGAAAGCCTAACACAAGAAACAGATTTGACCCATGACAGTAGTTACGAGTTACTGGGAATTACTGTTCAAACGAGGTTCAACATTATAAAAGTTTTCATGACTTCTAAAAGGAATTTGATCTTGTTGGAAAGGTCACATAAAGGCAAGATGTCGAATCTTGATGTTAAGGTAATTTACCTTGTAGGGGACAACCTTGTCCTATTGTGAATTTACCTGCCTTCAGCAAATTATTAAATAAATAAACTTGCAAGAAAATACACAGTTTCTGAGCATCAGAATGCAAAGAGAACATAGTAACACTCATAAGGAGTAGATTGAATCTAACTGAATCAGAAGTTTATGTCCTACTTCATCTTCGGTTGTGGATGAATATAAACCTAATAACTCATTAAATAACAGGGTTTTTTTATAGTTTTGTACACAGAAACATAAGCATGAGGATATTAGAATGTCCCCCAAGTGATGAGGCAGGGTACATTGATGAAGCTGATCAGTTTTACAGAAATCCCACATTGTGGCTATCAGAAAAGTATGGACTCTCTTCAGGTCATCAGGATCAGCTTCAATTTCCTACACACATTGTCCTGTACAATGTGCTTTTACCCGTTAGTTGATCTTTCTTCACCATACTTGTATCATTCTCTTAGTCTTACAATTTTAAATGAAACAAGTCTAAATTTACCTTGGATGAAAATCAGGTAAGAAAATGATTCTTACAGGTGAGCTGCAATTCACAATTTTAGTAGTTGCAGAAAAAAGCCTGGAAAGATTCAAGTTTTGATGAGATTCAAACCATGCCTCCCAGATTCTAGTTTAGCACTACTACCAACTGAGCTACAAGACTTCTTGTTGGGTGTCATCATCTCTTCTCCCCAACCCTTGTTGATTTGTAGTCTTGTAAAAATTCCCAATCATCAGCAAACAATTACTTTTTGTTCCACCATACAGTAAATTACCACCAACGGCAGTAATACTGCCAACCAAAAACTCCCTTTAACCTGTAGGAGTGACTATCATTTAAATTCTCCCTATATTATCAACCCTGAATCACGCACTAATGTGATGAGAATAATTAAAATGATAACCAATTAAAGAAGCACTTGATTGTCAAACAAATTCTCCTTGTCAGCACCTTAAGAAATATATAGAGAACAGGATGGAGAATATAGATACTGATATTAGGGTGTTAAGGGTTAATTTAGCTTTTAGTCTGCCAGTAACCATTGTTCACTTTTTGTACCTCCTTTTTTCATAATTTTGTTGTTGTTTTGTTTTTACTTGTTACAGACTCTTTGTTTTGTTCATTCATAATTTAGTGTTTTTTCCTCATAGGATGTAACGAACTGGTTGGGAAATTTTCATTTCAAAGAGGTAACATTGTTTGACAACCACACTTTTTTATTGTAATCTTAAGTCTTAGATACTTGCAGTAATAATCAGTGGTTATATATTTTAGGGTTTTGCCTTGATCAACATTCTAAAATTTATACTTTATTGCCTGGTGATGTTAAACTGCCTCCCTCACTTTAAATGATTTGAGGTTTCTCATTATGATGGAAGATATAAGTAATGACATATCAATCAAATTATTGCATCAGTTTGGATTTTTTTTCAATCTCCTACCACTGCCATTAAATAAGAGATGGCAGCCATTTTTTTTTGCTAGGGAAATATTGAGCATTAGCTCGCCAAAATTACACCTACTTTCCAGGCTAACCATTCACAAGAACATATGTTCTTCATGATTGTTTAATCTTAAGCAAGGGTTATAATGATAAACTTTGAAAGCCGCATTTTAACCAGTGAAATTTGTTTTGGTTTTTTCTGTTGCAGTGTGCAAGATTCTTTCACACCCATTTCCCAGAGGGTCGCATTGGATCTGAAGTATTGGTGTACTGCCATCAGAACACATAGCTAACATCATATCAAATGAAAACTTTTTGAATTTAGTGCTTTGTATTGTGTGCTCTCCTCTTGTTTGGGTTTTTTTTTTCTTTACATAATGAACATAAAAAAGAATGAGTTGAGGGGACAGCTGTAAACAGGCCACAAGTTAAGGAGTTTTGTATTTTTGTGCTCCATGTGCAGGTAACTAGAAAAAAATAAAATATCCAGCCATTTTAAAGATATATTGTCTCCAAACCCTCTGAAGTTTTAGCAGTGAGATGTTAACACTTTAACTGTCTCAATTTTTGTTCTGAACAAAAGTAGTTGGCAAAATCACTGACCCTTTGAACTTCTAGGCCTGATCTTTTACTTGAGGCCAAAGAGGACAACAGTATGGAGTACAGGGGAATTTTTTTTCTTTTTCAGGTGAGCCAAGGCAAACATTAGGCAGGAAAAAGATGGGGTTTCTCACTTTTTTCATTCCCCTCACACTTGACTCCATTCATTTCAATGATATAAAACAATTAAAGCTTGTCCTGCAGCCAGGAGAACAATTTATGCTTTGCATCAAGCTGGGGATCGAATGAGCTTCAGTTTGAAATCCTCTTGGGGCCTGGGAGGTTCTTTTGCACACCCCATGTTAAATCTATTAATTAGCCAATTTTCATATCTAATACACCAATGATCAGAGGCTTCTTGACGACAGAAACTTATTTAATTTGTATTAAACTAATCATTACATATCACAAAAATCTTACTTAAAGTAAAATTAAAAGCGGCATGTTTTTCCATGATTGAAACACATGAAAATTTTGAGGCAAGAACATTCTAACAAGGTCAAACATTTTACCACCAATAAGGTGACTTGAGAGCAAGCATGCAAAGACAGCTATCTAAGACTTCCACAGTAAAAAAAATTGCATTTATATGTACAAAATATAACTAACAGGCCCACAATAAGTCCTGGAGAGGCAGACATTGACAGCATGTTAAATCTGAAGCAGCCCCTTGATGATTTTGCAAGCGCTTGATCGTATTGTTCATGCACCCATTTAAAATGCCTCTGACAGAGTGGACAAGAATATGATCCCTGTTTTTATCATTACATTTCAAATCCAACTTAAATTCATTTCATAAATGTCTGTACAATATGTTTCCTGAGCAAGGCTTTTTACTTCACTTTCTTCCTGAATAAGAGTATATGTGGCTCTGTAGAAAAATTGTAGAATATGGGTTACAACTTTTAACCGTATTCTTCGCAATTAACAGCTTCTTATACGACAAAAGTTATTTAGATTTACAACCAAGTTACCTATTTTAAATTTGTAAATTTGCCTTGGTGAGGGCATGGGATCATTTTGGAGCTTAAGTGTGTTGTTGATTGTTCTCTTAAATTTGTATTTGGCTTGTGCCTACAAAGTTTGTCACACAGTTCAACAAGAACATAGCCAAAACGGTAACAATGGCGGAGAGATTTCTACTTCATTCCACACATTTACTAGTTACAGCTATTCTTAACAGATTTAGATTTGAAACGTAATCAGAGACAAGTAACAGGCAATAAGCAGTCTTACTCTGTTTCTCATTTCTGAAACCGTTACACGTTGTTTTGAAGCTGTTTACCTGGTCCGTGTCTCAAGTAATGTACCCATCCTTGTGATTGCTGAACCCCCAAATTTCGCCACTCTTGTTCTGTCATAAGCCTCTGAGGAACTTTCTTGGCGATGTCCTTTGGTAAGATAACATGTCTTGTAGGTACAAAAAATAGAACACGCTATTAGGAAGAAGCTGTTACACTATTTGTAAGTTTGACCAAGCAGCTGTTATCACTTCTTCGCGTTTCGAAATCAAGGAAGAAAAGGGAGCAAACATTACTAATAACTACTCCGGATTTTCAAGTCTTACCTGAATTCGTATTCACCTGCGTCATCGGCGTATCTTGGGGAATAATAAATATCTCTCACAGACATTCTGCGCGAAATTACTGGCGGCAAACGTTAGGAAACGAAGCAAATGCAGTGAAAATCGGTTACAACTGAGAGTCGGTAACTGTCTGATTGAATTGAAAAATTATGAACGTGTGCTTTCGTTGTGATTGGCCGAAAGTAAAAGGATTGCACAAGTTGATTGGTTCATGATTTTCTAGCCCAGTCTTCCGTTGTTTGTAACGCAAGGCATGGCGTGACAAATGAACGTCTCGAATGACTTTGTTCATGAAGACTCGTCTTCTGATTTTCTGTTTCTAAGGGACGTCAGCCAGGGGCTTGAGAAAAGTCAGCAGTTTCAGTGACAGTACCCATCAAATAAAGTGGTGGTTGTTGTATAGGAAATTGGTTTTGCAAGAGATGTCTTGGATTTTGATGTGCTTGTGGTGCACATATTTTTACGTTGGACAGTTCCAATGTTTTCGTTTTTTTTTTTTTTTAATTTCAGACTCAAAGTTTATTGTTATAACCCTGGTTAAAATGAGAAACATGATTACGGTATTTTGAAGGGGAAGCAAGACACAGAAAGAACGTTGCTGGGTTTTCAGGTTTTTGTGAGTTAGGAAGGTTCACTAGAGTCAGGCTCAAAGCAAACCTTGAGGAAGTGCAGATTGGCAATCCAAAATCATGTCCAGGGTTTATTTTCGCCCTGATTTATGTGATTCAACCCTGGCTCATAAGAAGGAGCCATTAATTTTTTAGAGAGTGATGTGTTAAAAACTCGATGGACAATGAGTTGCTTTGGGGCCAAAAAGACATTTCCACAACATACAGTTCAAAGAGATACAAACTTCATTTATCCCATTAAACATATCTTGGACGGCCTTTGACTTGTGGAAAATCAAAGGTATGCTTAACTCTCGACTACTTTTTAATAAACAAATTTCCATTTGCTATTTCTATTAATGCAGCAAATTAAGCAAACAATACATTTTATGTAAGAAAGCTCAAAAGTGCAGTCAAATAAATAATTTGAATTAATTGATGAATAAATTATGTTGTACATTATGAAGTTCCTTGAGTTCATTTATCTGAACTATGAATCAATGAAACACAAATAATTACATTTGTACAATCAAACAATTTAAATGAACTCTGGAAAATTTACATCATAAACTTAATATCATTAATATTGTTATATTTTAATGTAGAGGTTAGCATTAGTACACTGTTCCAGCTTCATTCCATTGACAGTTACTACAATGGCATTCTTGTGTTCTAATTCTTGCGCAGATCCGTCCTTTCTCTTCTAAATAACAAAATGTGAGGCTCTGAAAAGACACAGTCAATCATAAGTAGAATTTTGGATGTACCCAGTTCCCCAGCCCCTAAAAGCTTGAAAAGACCTGTATAGTACTGACCTGTTTACACTGGTCCCAAAAACTTGATAATGAAGAAAAAAAATGATCATTGCAGGTGTAATGCAATTAAAGTAATAGAAGAAATGAAGCCTGACAAATTTCATTAAAAAATTGTAATGAAAGTTGATGATCTTAAGCATTGCAAAAAATTCTTTCAATCCAAGCAAAATAGGTTTTTTCAACACTCACTTGACCACATGAAGTACGTCTTTCCCGTAGATTTAACAATTTAGTGCTAAATATGGAAAATATTCATACAGCAAGGAGAAATAGTATACATTCAACTCATTCCATCTAACTCATAAAACTAATAGTGCAAAATAATCTCATATTATTGGAGGATTGTGTTTCTGAGGGTCAAACACATACCCACAACCATGGAAAAGACAGTTTCTCTCCCTTTCTGTCTAATGTTTTTTTCAAAATATTTCCATATATTTGCTTGCAATTAATTCAGCTGAAGAACTTTCTTTTCACTTCTGTTAAGAGAGGTTTAATTGCATGGAGTCTACTACTCTTGAGGGGGATTTAGATGAGAGAATATACTATTTGTGGTCAAAAATTACAAACAGAGCTCTCCTTGCTAATTTTCAAGTTTTAAGAAAATTCAGACGGGATGAACGTCACACTTTGCAAGTGAATGCTGACCAGACTAGACTGTATATGCGTTTCTGAAAGGCTCTTTAAACTTTTATGAGCTACAAATTAAGACAGTGCAGTACGTAACAAAATCTAAAACTCACCAGGGTCATGTTTCATGTAATGTTCCCAACCCTGAGATTGTTGAACACCAAGACTTCGCCATTCAGTTTCTGACATAAGATGCCGTTTTGGGACAAGCTTAGCTATTTCCTTCGGCAACAGGACATGTCTAGAAAAGCAGGCACCAAATGATCAACACCAGTTGGTCTTAACGAAAAAACTTACATTTTCATAAATGACGCGTAAAAAGAAACGTCGCCATTTTTTTTTTTTTTTAATGAACCTTCGCCTAAACTGATCTGTTCTTACAACATAAGACTTTAAACGACAGTTATATATTCAGATATTTTCTCAAATGAAACAAACTGGACAACTTACAGTAGTTAGAGAGTATTAGTTGGTGCCTCTTCCAAGTCAAAATTGTAACAACGACAATTGGAGAGAAGACTAATTCGTTTGAAACAGGAGCAAGTAAGAAGTAAAATTTGCCAAGATGTATTAGACTGTGTTGGTTTTCGCTTCAAAACCAGCTTACGAGCCATCTAGAATGAAGAGATAAAAGGTAGCGAGTTTTTAGTGTCTTTACCTGTACTCGAATACGTCGTCGTAGTATTTCTCTGAGTAATAAATTTGCTTCACTGACATTTCGACGACCTCTGACGACCCAAACCAACTTCTTCCCGGTAAATGTCACATTAGAAATATTTGTCTCGACTTTTAAGATTGGCGCGCTGCTTTCTGATTGGCTACTCGTTTAGACTGAGTTCCCAGACTGCTTTACCAATTTCAAGATGGCGGACGTTTACGTGGCCTTATGCGATTGCAAACATCTCCCGAAGATGCTCCCTTGGTAACTAGTTGTATGGGGAAATTATGTGGAAAGTGATAGCCCGATAAAAATTCTTACACACTGGAAAAAATGGAACCTGAAGAAGCGAAGGAACGTGTGCTACAAAGACTTGAATCTGACCTCACATCCGCTGACCTGCAGTGGAGTTTGTTTATTGCAGCTCTGGAAAGTTATAGACACGACAGCATATTAAGACCCTTTCCTTCTGCATACGTGGTTGGTGATGATAATAAGAATTTTCAAGGGCTGGTGAGTGTCGGTCACCTAAAAATCTGAGTTCAGCTGTACTTTACATTTTAGAGCTGGACATTCCGTTTTCCCCTAATTCCCTCTCCACTCCTCCTCTTCTCACTTCCCCTCTTCCCAAATCCATTTTTGCTTTCAGCACCTTTGACGACTGTATCGAATGATTTAAAAAAACTTTAAGGCCTCTTGAAAAAATTGTGGCCATCTTTTAACACATACACCCAAAAGCTCTTTGGCAAAGATGGCTACTCACTTGTTAATTGTGGTACTTCATTGTGATGGACAGCACCACTAAAATTGGTCTTCACAGGTTCAAGTTTGCAGTACAGTTCCTGCATTTGACAAGCTATTGACAGAAACCAGTGAGAAGGTATATGCTCAAGAAACTTGGGATATCTTGGACTGGGCACTGGATAGAACCTTTGCACTGAGATCTGTTAAGAAATCTGTGGTATGTTTTTCAATAAAAATTTGCCTGATTATGGATCCTTCTGTCTTTTTTGCCTTATGATAATTGTAAAATTGCACTCCATGTACCTGAAAGAAGTCAGATTTTTAGACTAAAATATTACATAATTTTATTATAGATTAATAATATTTCAATAACAGCCTGGGCAATATTATGTTGGTGAAATGATCAACTTAGCTGTTACTTTTGCTGGTGCTACCAGGACTCTTATATTAAGCACAGTAGGTGAAGGAAATTGTCAAACCAGCACAGCAAATCTCTAACCTGTTGAATTTGCAGAATTTTAGGCAACTGTAGGCAGCTGCAAGAAGTACCACAACTGGTGAATGTTAGTGGTGTCTGCCTGAAAAAGTAAACCCTGTGTTACATAAGTTAGTATCTTATAATTTCCGTGACAATTATTTTTGCTATTATTAATGCCAACAGTTCTTGGAGATTGAGAAAAAAACTGGTCAAGCAAGTTACTGCTCCACCACACCTGACTTCATTTTCGAAGTTGTTTACAGGGAGACAAATACTCTCAGTGCAATGTTTGATGACATGTCACAGACTCGTGATGTTTGGTACGCTTACCATGGAAGTAGAGTGGACAATTTTCATTCTATTTTGAATAATGGATTACATGCACATCTTAACAAAGTGAGTCTTGTCAGCTGTTTGCTTAGTTGAGTTACTTGGTAATCCCTCAAAGATTCTCACTGATCAAGTGGCTGGCTGGCTATGTGACTGACTGATTGGCTGACTGACTGACGGATTGACTCACTGGCTGATTGACTGGCTGACTCACTGACTCACTGACTCACTGGCCATCTGGCTGACTCACTGGCTAACTGACTGACTGATGGACTGGCTGACTGGGTAACTCTCTGGCTAACTTACTGGCTTGCTGACTGACTGGCTAACTCACTGGCTGGCTGACTGACTGACTGGCAGACTGGCTGACTGTCCAACTAACTGTAAGCCCACAAAGTAAGTTTGCCATAAACTGAAATCGCTCCTTTATTTTACACTTGCCCTTTCATTATTTTCCTCTGGATCTCCAAGGATGAATGGCTGATATGTATATGAACATTAATAAACATGTCGAATAATTAGTGGACAGGAGATCCAGTGGCCTGATGGTCAGTGCACTGGACTCTGGATCAAGTGGTGTATGTTCAGGACCTGGTCAGGTCAACGTGTTGTGCTCTTGGACAAAACACTTTTCTCCCATAGTTCTTTCTTTTTCTCTCATAGCACCTCTCTCCACCCAGGGCCCACTTGTTTGAAAGAGGGTTAGCAACAATCCAGGATTAAAAGTTTACCTTGTCCTTGATTTATCTTGAAATAAAGCAGATACTAGGGCTTACCTCTTGAGGGGTTTTGCCATAAAGTTAGTGTAAGACAAAACTGAAGGAGTAAATAAAAACTGTTCTCAAAGCTACAAAACAAAGTAAAAAATTGTTGGCAAACCCTCAGTTAGCTTAATTGTCCTTTGGACAACCCAACCAAGGAGTATATTTAATAGGTACTGGTGAATTGTCAGGGAAGCCTGATGAAATGCTTGGGGGGTAACTGTGCACGGACTGGCATTGGATCCAGAGGGGAGTAGTAATACTCCCAGTCGCTTCATGCTAACATGGAAACCGGGATAAGCTCTGGTTTGGCTGGGCAAATAGGCTTAGTACAGACTCAATCTAATCAGTTGAAAGACTTATGGTTTACTCTATTTATGTTTCATTTGTTAAACTGAGTAATTTTGTATTATAAACTGAGTTGATAACAGAAATTTGCCACCATAAAGAGTTTGAATGCTGATGTTTCAAGTGCTAACCCTTTGTCAGGGAATGACCATGACCAACATTCACCCTGATGTTTAAAATTTTAGCTTTGAAACTCAGCTCAGCTGATAATACTAAATACCCACTTATACTCTCCCACCAATGCAACACCACAGTTTCTTCAGAAACTTACCCTCTATGATGTTTAATTAGATAAATTGAGTAGTAAACCAAACCGCTTTTCTTCATTTTTTTAGACATCATTTTTTGGAGAAGGGACCTACCTGTCAAGTGATTTAACTGTTTGTATGAATTACAGTAGTTTTGGTTCAGGCTGGAAAAACAGCACAATTGGAGAAAAATTAAGTATCGTGGCTGTCTGTGAGATCCTGGACCATCCAGATGTGAAGTGTACTATCAAATCTAAAGCAAATGACAACAGACTAACTCGTTCTAGGGCCAGAGCAAGAAACAGTGAGGGAGGAGATGTCCCAGAGAGATATTATGTGGTTACAAACAACCAAGTTGTTAGGGTGAAGTATATGCTGGTGTATGCTGAGAAGAAAGCACCTACAAGGTATAGTAAATGTAGCATTACAATCATTAGTAGTAATAAAATTTATTCTTTCTCCTAGATAGTTGATACCTTCTCATTTGTGCATTCTTGTTACTTGGGTAGCTGAGAATTAAACAGGAAAGAACAATATTAGATGACCTTCTCGAACACTTTTTGATTGAGTGTCATAAATTCAAGAACAAAATTCCTATGACAACAGGCAATCAAAAGATAGGAAAAAACCTTAAAGAATCTCTGAGAACTTAAAGAAAAAACCACCAAACTCCTTAAAGCATGGTAAAATGTAGGCACCCAAGCCACGATTGGTTAGTTCTGCATCTGATTGGTTGAAATAGAGGTGCAAATTTTCTGGGCCAATCACAGGGCAAAGTGAAGCAAAACTAATGCAATCCCAGATGACTTTTGATACTCAATTGAAAATTGCTCTTATATCAATGTTCACTACTTTGGAAAATTTTGTTTGACGTTTCCTGATCAGTTACATTTTGTACCTGGTGTTTTTTAAACTGTATTGTCCTTCTTTCTGGGGTTTATCTGAACTACTAGTGAACCACTTACCTCCAAGATCATATGGGTAATTCTCCCATCTTGTTACTTTTCATTTCCTTGAAAGTATGTTAAGAGAAGCTGATGCTATATCAGGATAGTACCCTTCCACTGATCATTTTGTCTCTTTTCATCATTTGTTTGCAGGATAGTTTATTAAATTTGAGAAGGGAAAGCATTAGTTCATCACTTCTGGGATTTAAATGATGTACATAAACTTTGTTGTGTGACAGACAGATCCCTACATCTCTGTACATATTTTGTGGAAACTGTGGTTATGTATTTTCACATTTAAATTTCTATCCTAATTTTGATTTATGGTAACTTTCTTTTGTCTCCTGATCCAGGACTCAAGCTCGTAACTGGCTGATATTCCGATATCCGTTAGCCTCAATCATGGTTGCCTATATCTTAGTTTTAATTTGTGTGGGTTTCTCCAAAACAAGACTTTTCCAAAAGTTTTATAGGAAATATTTCAAAGGAAGCTAACTTACCTAAGGTTAAAATATATTTTTAATTCTTTCAAGGGAATATTTAAAATTATGCAATACTTTAGCTCAGTATCTGGTGGCTAGGAAATGAAGGGTGTGTTTTTAGGTTATTAGGAATTTTTAAATTGTTCTAGGTAGTTTAGTTGTTGCATTGAAAACACAGGCAATTTTCTGATAAATGGAAGGAATTAACATCAATGAGAGCTACTTTCATTCCCTCCCAGTAGGTTACATAATTAGGGACATTATTGAAAAGAAATGAAGCTTTGAAATTTTTTTTGGACCTGATGATCCTCAGCAAATAACTTATGAATTATTTCAGAACCAAAGATCTTAATGTAAAGGAAATAGCTACTTTTAGTCTTATAAGTTTTGCTACGCTCAAATGTTTAAGTACAAAAACTATTTCAATGTATAATTTTAAGTATTCAGTGTATCACTGCATCTACCTGACAGGGTAAGGACCTTAGAGTCTTCTCCTTAGTTATTACATAACTTGCAGTGTTGATGTC